TCTAGTTTTACATACGTTCCACCTATTTCAGATACATATTATTTATGTTATTTTTTTAAGTGTTATTCACATGCTTCCATATATATAAATATACATTACAGTAAAGTCCAGAAGTCCCGAAACGGTCAATTATCTCAGAAAGTATTGGTTTATTGGAAAAATGTTTTAAAGTTATAGAGTTAAAAAGATTACTGATTACATCAGTTTGACTTTGGCGTCGCCAAGGTCAGGTTATACCGATTTTTTTTTAATGGGCCATTCTATTTTTTAATTCAGAATCTAATAACTAATGTTAAAAAGTAAATAAAGAGTTTTTCAAAACTGACAATAAAGTTCATTTTCATTAACAAGGAAACCATACGAAGTGTTAAATTCTGATTTTAATAAAACTTTGTATATATAAAAAAAATAAATTTAGAAAATATTAGTTGCGACTGAAAGATGGTTTGAAGGAATGAAATCACTTCTTGTGTAACGCGGATTTTAGCTTTTTTGTCGTATCTTAAAAACTATTCGAGATATCAAAAAAATGTTTTATACAAAACTTTTACAATAAAATTATCTGTTTATCGGCGTCAATAATATTTTTACATTAAAAATTCATTTTTATATGTAAAAATGAAAATAAGAAAAACAATCTCCAATGGCCTATCTTGACAAATATTATCCAGGGCATAACTTTGAACATTTAAGAGGTTTAATCATCGGACGCTTCGGGTAATGCTCACTCTAATGATGGCGGTACTGTAATTTTCAAACGTTATAATTCGAAAATACTTAATAAAAATGAATGAATTTTATTGTAGTTTTGAAAAGCTCTTGGCATCAGCTATTAGATTCTGAAATAAAAAATAAAGCATTTCATTAAAAAAAAATCGACCTTGATCTGATATTGACAACGCCACCCAAGATCAAACTAAAATCAGTAAATAGATCTTTTTGAACCATTCAATTTTGTTTGAAACATTTTTCCAATAAGCCAATACTTTCTGAGATAATTAGTTAGTTCCGAGACTTTTAGACCTCATATGGCTGCATTTCGATATTCGATTACTAATACTGAAAATTTACCGCATGTAACGTGTATTATAAATTTTCGGTATTGGCAATGAATATCGAAATGCAGCCATAATATGATCGTAACTATAAAATATATAGCACGGAAAACATACCAACAGGTTGCTTAGTTTTATAGCCGTGTTGTTGCTTATTAAATTTTGAAAGCAAATTCTCTGTGAGTGTTCTCTTTGTCAGAAGAGCTGTCATTTGCGCCGCAGCTTTCTCTTCAAAATCTCTCTGATTATCTTGATTGTGTCTTACATTTAAATTCCCACTCCAACATCTATCATTCCTGAAAGGAACATAAAATCATATATAAATATTTTGTGTTATAAAGATACTTACTATTTCAACAATACGATTTGTTACTTGTGACTACTTTGATGCTTTGCTTTAACCATTGACTTTAACATGCATAACGTATTGGATTCTTCACTGTAATATGATTCGTCATCTACACTGCTGTCCTCGTACACGGTCCCGTCATCTTCGTCGTCTTCCTCGTCTGTAATCGAGGAAGTAGGAGACGAAATATCCGTGGTTACGGAAATTCGCCGATAAATCTTCTGTAAAGACTTTTTCGAATCCTGTACTTGAAGTAATCGACGAAATCCCGATCCTCCCCAAATTTTTCCTATTTTTGTAAATTTTTTCTGCGTTATAGAATTTTTTCCTGTATATATAAAAAAGAAAGCGTTAAGTTGACAATTTACCGAGCAAACCAAGTTTCGGTCTCTGTGGCACGAGCTCGATTCCATTCCACCACATCGTATCCTTACACACTAATTTGCTTGGACGAAGAGACGGATCGCGTGTTACTAGCCGTGTAATTTTTTCTGGGAAAAAAAGCTGGGGTGCTTCCAAAGTTATCACTTCTCTATGTGCTGTCAAGATATTTAACATATTTAATTCTTTCTCACCCTTTATATCTGGTACGTGTTCCTAAAAAAGAAAACTCTATATAGAAATCTTTATATAAACTATTTATATTTTCATTATATTTTTATATGTATATTATATGTATATTATATATATCATGAACAGTAAATTTTTATAACGCAATTATGAAGACACATAATGTTGATACTAACTTTGTATCTACATCCACTTTGATGATTTGATAAAGCTTCAAATCTGTAAGCAGATTGACTACAACACGGATATTTTCCCAATGGGAAGGGCATAGGTCTCTGTTGTTCGTTTATGAAGAATTGTGCAGATTCCGGATGATAGCAGCACCAACCGATCTGATGTATTGGAAAGTATATATTGCACTGTTGACAGAACACAAAATGACAGTCTCCCCACAATCTCCAATATACTTTTCGCCAAGAGCGCAATTCCGATCGCAAGGCAACGACATAATCATTCAATGTCCAAGTCAAATCTCTGCAAAGTTATTTTTTATTTCTTAAATCTTTCATGCATATAATAATGCTTATATATAAAAATATGTGTACCTGATATGCTTGCTATGAACAGTTCCCTTGTTACCAATTTTCATTGCACTTGGAATGCAAGGCACAAAATCGGAAATTGATTGTATAACATTCTTGCCGCACTTTCCACATCTAAACATCATAGCCAATGAACTATAGTGTCCCTTTTTATTATCTGGAGTGATCTCCACTAGAGAAGCGATTAACTTACAGAACAAACGACTCTGAATTTTATCTTTTTTATCTTTTAGAATTTCAACATCTTCGTTAGTAAATAATTCAGCCAATCTATGGTTAATTGTAAACATCAATAAAACAGAAAAAAAGAAAGCTTTAAATTAATAATTTATTATAAAGTAGATGTAATATATCATGTAAAATACAATCAAAACTATGACAATAATAAAATGCATGCCTTGTAAGAAGATTATCATCTAAACATGTTAAAATTGTTGATGTTTTTAAAATATCCGACATATTGTCGTGACAATACTGCAGACAATTTTCCAAAAGCGGTTCCATTTGTAAAAAGGAAGCGGACACCATAATCGGAATGACGTTATTCGCCTCTAAAACTGGCCATTCTGACTTTTTTATGATATCCTTCTTCACCCATCTCATCAACCAATCGAAAATAACTACATCACAATGGACCGATATGTCTATCTCGTCGAGTTTCTGTCCTGCTGTAACATCAGCGAAATAACACATTTTTTGTATAAGAAGCTTTTGTGGACATCGAAAGTTTTTTCTGATATTTTTATCTTCGTCGCAAACATGAATTTCCACTTCATTCCTATAATGCAATATAAAAAAATAATGTCAATTATATTATTAAACATGAACAATTAATCCATTTATTAGAAATACTTTTAACAAGATGTTTGAAAATGTAATTGCAATTAAAAGATACTTACTCCAATGATTTCTTGTTTGTCTTATTTTTCTCCTTGTCTCTTTCTTTATGAACTGAGGCTTTATTTTCAATTACATTATTCAAAGAAAAACTTTTCTTAACATCTGCAACAGCAGTGGGCTTTTTAATAATAGGTTGTGATAGGGTAGATTTTGGCAGCATATATGGCAAAACAGAGTCCAGTAATCCTTCATGCAAAATATCTCTTAGATTTTCCTTCATGACTTTCGCCAAATCACATTCATTCTCTTCCAAATGTTCTTTAGTCTGTAATACTTTTCCCTTTTCATTTTGAATTTGACTACCTGATAACTGATTTGTTTCTTTAATATTATCTTCTAAACATTTATTAGAAGAATTTTCTACACTGATAGATTCCTTCATAGAACTGTTATTATTACATGTGTTAGAAATATTGCTATTACAAGACATCACAGAAGACTGTGAACTTATTATGCTTTCTGATGTACATGAATTTGATTCCTTATTATTTGTTTGTGTTAGTAATGTTTGTATAGGATCATTATTCTCGTTTTGCTGTTCGTCAGTACTAGGACGGCAGTTATTATTGGTTGCTTTACTATCCTCGCGCGTTTCTAGGTCTAAATTAATTTTTGCTAATTCATGCCAGTCAATCTCGCTGTTAGCACTCAATATCTTAGCCAGACCTTCGCAACTATCATTAACTTGATACGCAGTTCTCATAAATTCGAAAAATGCTCCAATTGTTAATTTAGAGTGCTTGTCTTCCTGGAGGTTTCGTAATCTCTCCGCTAAATTCAAAGTTCTCATTATTACTATCATCCATAAATTTTCAAGTCGTGGTCATGACACAACTTAACCCATTCTAGTGCAGTTATTGCTCAGCTTATTGCTGAGCTTTTCTATTTGGTATATAATTATTAATATGACTCAAAAACTTAGCAGCAAAAGTTGTGCTAACGGCATTAGATGGGGATACAGAGAAATCATCAAAATACTTCAAAATAAAGGTGCAGCATCCAGTATCTAACTTCGGTGCGATCTAGCATACCAGTAGGTGTACATATACCTTCATTACTCGTCGAGGCACATGCTCTTAATATTGTACTTGCGCTTAAAGCAATATTGTCATTTTTTTGTGGTTCCATATTTTTAGGAGATGCAAGTCAATTTTATCCTACAGGTTACTTATGCATCAACGCAAAATTTCACGTCAATATACCTTTGACTTACAATTATAATGCACAAATTATAAAATTTTAATACAAGATCGAAGAGTTTAGATAATTATGAAATATTGTGTACTCAGTGTCACAAATCATTAGAAGAACGCTTTCACTCTTCATATCCCAATAAGTCTGGACAAGTCTCCTATTTGAGTCTCGATCAGCTGACTGTGTTCCAAAACTTATAAAAAAAGATATCTTCAATTTTTGTTATAATTTCGTTCTAAAACACATCAAAAAAAGATCCTAATTCTGTTTCAAAAATATGGTCCACAAATACCAATATGGAGTAAATCTATTGTTTCTATATGTTATGCTTCCAGCTTTAACTCATGGCATGTTAACCTAAAAAATTATCGCATTGAATTGAGACAAACGAAAATCGTTAATTTAATAATAATACATTAGTAATATCTACCCAGCTCATTAAAACTAATAGATATCCGTTTGAAAATTAATTAAATTGGTAAGAAGTCTGACAACAATTTGTAGTTATAAATTTTTCAATTTTTATACAGTATTTTTGTACAATATTTTTCTTTTTCTTTTGTATAATTATTTATTAAAAATTTATGTTATTTTATAATTACATATTTTTTTTATACTTATATATTTATAATATTCTATGTAATTTTTTACAGATTTAAGATATTTGGAATTTTATTTCTCATTTATATTTATATATTTAATATTTAACATTTAATTAAAAATGATTCAAGCGAGTGAAAGCGATATTTTGACTATAGGCGGAGTTCTAAATGACTCTGCCAGGCCTCTGAAAGAGAGATTCCGCGCTCTATTCACTCTGAAGAATATTGGTGGTTCAATGGCAATAGATCAGATCCATGCATGCTTCAAAGATCCATCAGCATTGTTGAAACATGAGCTTGCATACTGTCTAGGTCAGATGCGAGATCCTGCAGCCATTAATATCTTAACAAGTGTCCTGGAAGATCTGTCACAGGAGCCGATGGTACGTCACGAAGCTGGTATGTGTTTGGCATGCACAAGTCTCATCCAAGCTTCAGTAATCTATTCAAAAAAAAAATAAAGAATCTGTTTAAAACTTTTAAGAGTAAATCTCATTGTAAAGAATAAAATCTCACTCTTAAAGAGTTAAAAAACTCTTTCAAAAATTCTTTCTTCTTATCTTAATTATTTACTCTTTAGAATCAGGTTCCACTCAAATTTAGAGAATATTCATTCTTTGTACTATTTTATATCTATATGCATTTTTTTCACAGGAGAGGCACTGGGTGCTATCGGTGAGTCAAGTGTAATTCCTTTGTTGGAAAAGTACCTCAAAGATCCTATACCTGAAGTAGCAGAGACATGTGAGTTGGCCTTAAATCGGTTGAGATGGTTAGAATCTAACAGTAATGCAAAGAACTTACAAAAGAATTCATACTCTACCATTGATCCTGCACCACCGATAGAAGTAATAGATGTAAAAATCTTGAGAGATATTTTGTTGGATGAAAACAAGTCATTGTTTGACAGATACAGAGCAATGTTCTCACTGAGAAATTTGGGTACCAGAGAGAGCATTCTAGCTCTTACTGAAGGTAATTATTAATCTAATCTAAAAATATTAAATAAATACTAACTAATCGAGTTTTGTTTTTACATAAAGGTTTGAAGACCGGTAGTGCCCTGTTCAAACATGAGATAGCATTTGTACTAGGACAACTTCAAGACGAGACATCCGTGCCAGGATTGCAAGCATCATTGGAAAACACGGAGGAAAACGAGATGGTTAGGCATGAGTGTGCTGAGGCTTTAGGTTCCATTGCCACTCCTGAATGCTATGAGATATTAAACAGATATCTCCATGATAGTAAAAGAGTTGTTCATGAGAGTTGTGTAATCGCCTTGGACATGTGCGACTATGAAAACAGTACGGAATTTCAGTATGCTGATACATTAGTCAAGCTTTCTACTACGTGAAGAGTTTTATTTATATTGTCATTGTATTATATGTATTTCCTATGAACCGAATGAAAGAAGAGAAATATAAAACCTTTATCAAGTTAGCATTTTTAAAAATCAAAATACGATCTATATCAAAATTACAATTTTCATGAGGATATTAACTTGACAAAGGTAAATGTAAATTATTCCCCTTAATGATAGTAAATTTTTATGCGAAGTTCGTGTGAAATTCTAATCAATTCTAATGGAAAGCTAAGTAAAGAATTGTTACATTCCTTACATCTTGGACATACATTTTCTTTTCTTGCAAACCTAAATTTCCAATATTACTCCAGTGTATATTTTTTGCTATGAAAATAATAAGATAAGATGATATTTCATCAGTTTCAACTTTAAAGTAATATGAAAATTTAAGATAAACATTTTTTTTCCAGTGACTTGCTTACGACTACATTTCTTCTTCTTGAGAACACAAGTACAACTTATAAATATTCATATGTGCTGTCAGAAACATAAATATTATTGCAAGAAATAGATAAAACATCGCTCTACCCTACTAATGATGGATCTATAATTGTATATCGCTATTCATTAATTAGGAAGTTTCGTAATGAACGCGATTAAGAACTTCGGTATATCAAATCGATCGTAAGGGAAATACGTGTTTTGTCATAACGTAAGATGACTTCCCTTTCTAAGAAAACGGTAAAATCGGCAGATTGAATTGCGGCACTATATGCGGGTGTACCGCTAATAGCAAACGAGCTTGATAAGACTCGCGATATGAACCGGGCATTACAAGCGAAATCGATCAACCGTTGCCGCTTCACTCCGTTTCTGCATTCGTCGCTGAAACTTCGTTTATTCGAAATTCTTTCTCTAATCGCCCGGAAGCGTGTCCGCTGGGAATTCCCCGTGATGGAATTTCGAAATTGTCCGTGTTCAGTTTCATGAATATCGCGTGCCGTCTTGCGCATTCATTGGCATACATTCGTTATAGCTTCTATCACTGCAAGCACACGTACAATCCTTCATACTTTCCGCAGTCAGCGAGATAAATTTTTTTTTCGTTAATCGTTTCTTACAACGTCAGGATAACGTTTGGATCGATGAGAGGAGAATCGTCGAAGGGAAAGATTTTTGATTCGCGAAAGAGGAGAAACTTTCCTTGGACTGAATAATGAAGGGATTAATCAGAGTCAGTAAAGCAAGACTGACGCATTGTAAATATTAGACAAACGGATATAGCTCGTCAAAGCTTCGACAACTAAACACGAGCAGGATATACTTCACAAACGAATAATTAAGATATCCACGTGTAACATTACTTTCAAACGTATTCTTCAAAATAATCGAAAAGATTATTCCACGACTACATCTATTTTCCATTGATTAACACATCGTTAGAGTATTATTCTACGCACTACGGGGTGGAAGACAATTTGTTGGAGTGTGCAAAAAAAACTCTTTACTCGTCCCTGTCTTCCCGCGCGAGGATACTTTGACGATGATTTATTTCTCTCAGTATCTCTATCAAGGTACTCGCAACGCTACAGTTCGTTGTAAAGTATAAGACGATTCTCTCTCGCCAAAGTGGGGAGAGAGACGGACGGGGGTGGTCGATATTAACTGCGAAGCAGTTCCTTCCCTGATGGAGAACACGGTGGCGGATAGTCACATGCCGGCCGCGGTCGAATGCAGACTCTCGCCGTTGTATCCGCGCGTTCCATCGCCGCTTCACATAAAGTAAGCTTTATCTCGCCAATTAATTACAATAAATAATAAATCAATAATTATAATAACTCGCCAAAGTGCGCTGATAACATCGCAATTGCATTTCTAAGCGACTACAATTATTTTCTTACATTATCTTATTAGCAGAATTTTCTTAAATGCTTATCTTTATTTTCTTACTTTTGGTTGCATTTTCTAAACAATACATGCACTTTTTATTCAAATGCATTCTGTTTTTTATAATTTTTCATGAAACTTCAAAATTACGAGTAACTCCTATGAAGCTATATTTTCACAATTGCAATACTTTTGATTGAGAGACGTTGACTAAGCGTTTTAAAATTTTTAATAAAATTTTGAATATATGTGTTTAATATTTCAAATTTTTGTGAAATGGAAGTATTTTGATATTTTTAAAATATATTATATATCCTTTTAATAATATATTCGCAAGTTACATAAATTCATTTTTATACTATCTATAGATACTATCTATAGAAAGTATACTTTCTTTTCTCTCTTTTTCTTATTATTTTAAAAGTTATATGGAATATTTTTAAAGATATCCGATTTAAAATAATTTTGCAAATAATAATTTAGTTATGAATTATTCTATTAATAAACATTTCCTGAAAACTCTTATAGACAGATAAAAGCAAAAAAAATTTTATGAGATTAATTATAAATCTTAGAAAGATCAAGAGATGACTTCCTTAACTTTTTTCTGTAGTCTTTATTTTGAATTCTGTAATTAGAATAATTAAGAATAATAACATAAAAGTTAAACAATTATTTCCAGAATGGAAATAAAGTGGAAATAACTAGTTACAATTCTGAAAATCGAGCTTAAGATTAAAAAATTTTATATAACTTCACTTGATAATCCTGATAAAATTCTGTTTACAAATTTTCTTAAATTTATCAAACAAACTATATAATAATCTTATAATCAAGTACAGTGCTTCGTTATCTTTTAAAAAAAAAGCACGAGAATTTTAATTATTATCTTGCATATCTCAAGAAAATATATAAGCAGTACGCACGTTTTGCCCCGTATTATGCAATCGCGTTTCGTGTGTGCTACTTTTTTACACTGGGTTCATATCGTGAAAGATTTAATAGAGATAAACTTGGCGACTCCCTCTCGCGAGGCGATTTTTCCTTAAAAGTATCGGTTTACCCACATAATATTGATGCAATTTTAACGTTAATATTGTTCAAATACTTCTATCATCTTTCGGCCATCAGATACAATCAGACGAGAACATTTTTTTACCTCCGTATAAATGCGCATATTGGGGATGTACATTCTTGGGAAAAAGACAAAGCGGAAGACGTGCACCTGACTGTGTTTTGATCGGTTTTTCTTATTTATAAGACAACGCGTTCGTGAATTATGCACTTTGTTTCGCAAGTAATACCATTCATATCACATGACAAACGTTGCCTCTTTGACAGCGATAGCTGTCTTTGCAACGTCAATCGTGCATCATACATCCCGGAAGCAAAACAAACGTCAGTCATTCACCGTCGATTCCGAAGGAAGTCGTGACGGTGATGAGGAACTGTAGGATGATGGACGTTTAGAAGGACTCGACTTCTCTCATTCGAGTAATATCGAATATAATATTAAAGCGAGGCGCAATCAGGTGCGAGTTGCATGTTCCTCCACTGGTGCGGCTTCTCTCGCTTCGGACGTCACAATCCAATATACTTCCAATATATTACTTACACGATGAAGGAATCTTAATACGTTAAATTCAATTCGCGCATCAGTGGAATAACAGATTTTACATATTCGTGATTTTACGTTTCACCCTTTAAATTGCCAATAAAAGCTCCAGTAATTCTACGACTAGGATTGCACATTCGCTAGAATTTTTAAGGAACCTCGGCCTTACATGTCGATCGTTAAATTGGCATACTTTTATGTCAGCACATCCGGTCTTTATAATCCTAGTTAAGTTAGTTAACTTAGTAATAAGAATCGATCTATCTTTTCCTTGTATTACTATCATTATCGTTGCTATCATTATTACACTACTATCAAACCTCTTTTTCTACCTTCGATAATTTTAAGAAGCTATCTACCAATTTTTTCGCAATTTATATATAGGAAGATTTACGAAGAAGGGGCGCGAATATTAATCTTAAAGTTCAAAGGTAAAGGCGAGAGAGTATATCAATTTTGTACTCATACAATTTTACTTTAGCATAGCAATCGCACATATATGCCACTGGGATCATCGATAAATGGTGAGGAGTCAAATTCGCGGGAGATCATGACGGACAATCGGTGGTACCCGAAGGACGAGACGTAGGGGGATATGTCCGGCTGCTTGTCGTCATCTATGACAGGATCGACAGATGCGGGGCCGCTGCAGCCCCAGGAAGAACCCGCTTCGCTTCCCGTCGCTCGACCATCGTCCTTGTCGGAGAACGCATCGGCCGCACGGCGAAGTAATCGTCATCGTCATCAGTCGCGACGTAGGATGACGTCCGCTCCGCTGTCTGGACAAACAATACAATTGACACCTCTTTGGGAACATGTGGTACGTTCGGGATAAGAATTTTATATTCTCTAAGTTCTTTGGAGTAGAAAATATCTAAAGAAAATTGAGCCAGTCTTGAAAAAGAGTGGCTCAATTTTAAGAGTAAAATTTCACTCTTCAAAGTGAGACGCAACTAAAAGTTTTAAGCTGGGTTCTTCCACTTTTCGATAAACTTCAGCTCACTGTCTTATTCTCTTACTCTCTTATGCTCTTACTCTTCTCTCTAAATTTCATGGAATAAAATCTCACTCGAAGAGACTGAAAATTTAGCCTGTCTTGAAAAAAGAGTGAAAATGCGGCCACTCTTGCTCAAGATTTTCACTCTTTTTAGAATGAGATTTACTCTTTTGAAATGAGATTCTTCACTCCAAAAGAGAGAAATTTCAATCCCTTTTTGAACAAGAGTGACTGTATTTTCACTCTTTTTTCAATACAGGCTAAATTTTCAGTCTCTTCGAGTGAGATTTTACTCCACGAGATTTAGAGAGTTTTACTCTATTGTTTATCCACTAGAGTATCCAATAAATTATCACATAGTTTATCTGAAGATGGAACAACCCTAGAGAGTACTCTTGCCGCGTATTTCTATGTATTTTATCTCCTAGTTTTCCTTTTTGAAAGTGAATAAATTTGACATGCTGATTGTCTTTGGCTAGGTGCGTACGCATAGGTTTCCATCTGAAGTTGACACGCAGGCCACCTTCATCGAGATCTCCGAGAGACTTCGGGATCCGGAATGGGAGGTTCGCCAACACGCCCTGCGGGTGCTGATGGACGTTTTACCGACGCTGAGCACCGATGTCATTGACAAGGTCATGCAACCAGTGGTGCCGGAGCTGATCAATAATTTAGGACATCCAGCGCCGGCCGTTCGTAAGGGCGCCTTGGACACGCTGCGGGTCTACCTGGTTCATAGCCCCAACAGAGAAAACATGGTTCAAAACGTAAGCACCTGTAACTTATTTTTTTTTTCATCTGTAGCTTTCTTTTAAATCTATATTTATCACCTTTCTGGATCTAAAAATTTCTTCAATTAATGGGAACTTACCAAAGCATTATTTCGATGACAATTCTTTTCTATAAATACATTTTAAGTTCAATTGCTTTTAAATTCAAATACTGTACGAATTTCTAAAACTTCTCTATGGTCTCTTCTAAAACTCGTTTATGGACATTTAATTTTTATGAAGATAACGATATTAAGAAATATTTTCATTTATTTTAGATCCTTCACGACGGCTTAAATCGCCCAGATGCTCATAATCCGTTTCAAACAAACGTGACGACAGGCATAATCCTGAGCGCACCTCTGTTGCTCTTTCCATCCTCGAACAGTCCTCCTCCAACAACGCAAATCCTGAAGGATGCCACGATCGCCTTCGCTTCGCGATTGGTCCAGGTACCACATCAAGAAGCCGTTCTGAAATCTCTCATGAAGATCCGTGACGCAGTTGGTGAGGAAGAATTCGAGAGTTACTTGACAGATTATGACGACAAGTTTAAGAAGAACATCGATATTCTCTCCAAAATCTATAATATCAAGTCGACCAAAAAGAAGCAAGATAAGAATCGTACGCAGGACATTATGAAGGCTGATAAGAAAGAGCGCGCCTTCGACAAATCCTGGGATAGCGACAGCGACACTTCTGGTATCGCCGAAGAGGAAGATGAGATACCACCGTCGAGAGTCGTTCTAGAGACTGAGATCAAGTTCAACGAGGAGACGGCCATCACGATGACAATTCTGGAGGAAAAGGACGATGATGATAGCGAGGACAACGAAGGAAAGAAAAACAAAATCGGTAATGACGTGATGAACGAGGAATCATCGTCTGCAGATAAACGCAGGACACCCAGACGCGTCCACTTTGGCGGCGAGATCGTGAAGCTAAGGACACCCGATAGCGACGATACAGAATCAATCGAGATAACGCCTAAGACAAGGATCCCACTTCCGGTGTCGCCGGCTACAAAGATGCCAGAAATGATGAGGAGACGACCATCATCGCAACCCTGCAGTCCTCACATGGAGAAGCGAGGGTCAAGGAGAGCTTCCAGGTCGGCGTCCAGCAGTCCCAAGAGAGAGTACACGCACAACGCGCAGCTGAGTCCTAAGAAGAGTATTCTGACGAAGACGGGTGGACCTCTAATTGTAATCAATTCAGTGACGCCAACGGAAGAAATGAAGAACACGAAAAAAATTAAAAAAAATAGTGAAACGATTCTAGAAAATGAATCCCCTCGCAGTAGTTCGCAAGAAATTAATGAAATATTAAAGAAAGAAGATATTACGTTAGATCAGACTACTCCGGCGTCAGCAAATAGTGAAGACAAATTGACAATAAAAAGCAAGGATGAAAATGATCTATCTGTTCAGGTTGCAGCGATAGAAACCTCGAAAAACATATCTTTAAAGGGGGAACAAGCGATGAGTCTTAAGAGAGACGGTCACGCGGACACGATTGATTCGAACAGAAGCAATATTTCTGAAGCCTCTTCGAGGCAAGAGAAGAATTATGTGATGACAAAATCATCAAGTCCAGAACGAAAGAAGACACTCCGAGATAAGGACGACAGCTTCGAGTTAGAAAGGGAATGTTTGAACGAACAGAAATTGTCAGGAAACAGTTTGTCTCGCAGGTCCAACAGTTTCCCTTTCGGATCGCCAGTAAACGAGTGCAATGCTCAAATAGATCGTCTGATCGGCGGCGACTTCATCGACGATGACGACGACGACGATGATGAACAGGATGTGCGTACCTGCAACATAATTACAGACGATCGTGCGGTGACTGTTGTGAACGGCGAGGGACGAAAAGAGTGGCATAGCCAATACGATAAAAAGGAAGGGATCGCGTCGGAAGGGAACGAAAGTGTCACTTGTAGTAGCAGCGAGGGCGAGGGTAAACCGCAGGAACCCAGCTGGGAGGAATTGGGGTTGGTTGGCCAGGAGGTGTTGGATGACCTGCACAACAAGGTAAAAGATCGGATATTTAATAAATACCAGTATTTTATGCGCGTGCAAATTTATTACATAAAACATATCGTTAATTTTTTTATGAAATATTTACAATTAGTATAAATGCATCTTTTGGTAAATGCAATGCTTTGCACATATTATCTCCCTCGTCGAAATTTATGGTTATAAATAGTAACTATATTTTTGGTATCCCTCTTGAAATTCCTCAAATAATATTATATTAAGCTGATCGAAGTATTGATATTTAATGTCGGATTATACACAATTATATATAGATTATAGAAATTATATAAAAGTTAATTCACAAATAACAAAGGAAAAAGATCTTCAAAACTGTGAACGGATCCAGTTAATTCAGTTGAGCTCATAGACCTCAATACATTATATATTACAATTAGAAAAAATTGTGATGTTATGCTTTAAAGAAATTTAAGTTAGATGTGACTTTGTGGAAATTCGCGTGAGATTCATTTGGCACCATTTTTGCCGCGTGTTAGCAGGGTAATGCCCTGCTTCAGATTGTCGCGATCCTTGACGATTAACGTGTTCACTTGAGGACCCTTGACTTTAGGACAAACCGCCGATCCGATACATTAAGTATGGTGAGAAGTAGGTCGATCGATTTTCGTCGTCGACAAAAGTTCGTCGCGTGACGTAACGTGATTTAAGCTCCATCAATTATCAGGATTACGTGTGCGCGTATACGGGCTTAACGTACTTTTCTCTTTTATTTTTTTTAAATCTCTCTCTAAACGAATGAGATGCCTGCTCTGTGGGCCATCAATGGTTTACATCAGTGTTCTAGACACGTTAATTATTATATTATTATAAAACAAAAATTATGCTTTTAATAGATGTTGACACAAAGTTCACTCGATCAATTTTAATTAATTAATAGACGTAGCGTATTCGTAATAAATGTCAGGTGAATAATCGAACAGTTCAAAATCCAGCCTTAACTTCTCATACAATCTTTGCACCATCTCTTTGTTTAACTGGCTGAAGTATATCTTGGAGGCGTTAGCATAACTGTTACTATGTCTCCATCTGGGCTTGATCTTGTCTTGCAATCCTAATTTATTGATCGCATACACCTGATCTCTCCATAGCGATTCCACCTGCAAAATTATTATTACATTACAAGAGCTTTAAAATAATCGCTGATATGATGTTTCGTTAAAAATTTCAATACATATATATCTACACTTTAACATACAACTAACACTTTTGAACTTTTTTTTTGTTGATACTAATAGAAATACCTCCCTCCCCCCCCGATTATTATTGACTGTTTTTACTTTTTAAATTAATATTATATGTTTTGTATAAAATATATAATTTTTAAATATTTTCAATAATTATGTTTTATACTAAATGAAATATTTAATTTTTTACCACTTTTTTATTTTCACAGTAATTCATTCGCTTGGTACTTCCATTACCCACAAAGTAGCACAACAGCGACTACAAAGCGCTGAAAAAGTGCTTATATACTTTTTTAACGCTTTATAGGCTCTGTGTGCTACTTTTAGTGTTAACGCAAAATATTACAAGATTATGACAGTCAGCGATCTCGGATGCAAATTTCGATACCTTCGCGATGATGTCGTATTTGATAAGGCACGGCGTGCAAAAGAGATAATATGGCATCCAATGATCGTCTTCGTAACTGCCTAGGTCAGTCTCGATCATGTATTCGACGAACTCTCGGAAAGTTGGTTCCACCCCAGCCGGCGGCGGTACACCCTCGCGTTGGATCACTTGATTCGGCTGTGGCTCCGTGAAATTTTCTTCTGAAAGTTTATCGGATTCATTGCTGTTCTTTATCTTTTTTTTAAAATAAAATTAAATAAAATATATTCAACACGTTTCCAAAATTTAAAATTTAACCCTTCAATCAATGGATACGTGGCGAATACAGTAAAAAATTATATATTTTTATGCGAATTTTGTTATAACATCTAAAAAATTATCCTACATCTTTCGAATATTAAAGAGCAGTTTGGCACAGACTTTATCTCGTTTTCATTTCTATGTTTTTAATGAAAACGTTATGAAACATGATAATGAAAAGGTGAAAAAATAATTATTTATCGACAGAAGGATTAATCGCGAAAATAAATCTGTCCTTACTGTAATGGTTATCGTGCAGAGTAAAGAAAAGGATTTTTAATCAATTTTTAATCATTTCTCTCTCATTTCTTTTCTTCCCACGACTTACTACGATACTTCTGCACAATCTTGGCCCCGAATTTGCGATAGAAGTAAAGCGTCCCGTGTTCTCGTCCGACGATGGAGTTCTCCAATTTATCACGATAAGCGCTTAACAACCTCTCAAAAGGATGCCGCACGATCAACAACTTTCTGCTCGTTGTCAGAACGTGATCGGCTTCAGGATACTCAAGTTCCGGTATCGTTCTCCTGGCGATAGTCGACAGCTGTTCTTTACCGCTGTTCAGCGTCTCCTCGGGCACGTTCATTAACAGACAAAGATTGTAGAGCCAGGTCGTGGTGCCGGCTTTATACACCGGACAGTACGATATGTTGTGCACTCTGCGCAGAAATCATCATCTTGTGGGTACCTTGACACCTTCGATAAGGATCGATCGTTAATAGTTTTTTATTTTCTTCTTCTTTTCTGATACTTTTTACGAACCTGTCCATATAGAAGACGGCATACTGCGGCACAGGTGGATGCTTGAATAGAGAATCATCGGCGAGCTTTCGATAAAACCCCAAATTATACTTTTTACAAACTCTTTCAACGTTCAACGATCGTCGTGTGTTGTCCGCTTCGACTTCGATCTGAGATATTATAAATGATTCAGAATTATATCGATCTCCTTGAGATTTTAAATCTCTCAGTGACTTACCATCAGCTTTCTCAGATCGTCGTCGATGGGAAGAGGTCTGCTCTCGTCGCCAATAACGGCGAGAGATAGCTTCAGCGTCAAGAAGATAACTCCAAGGCAGACGATGATTTGAAGTATCCGGAAGAGTGCGCGTTTCCGTTGCCGCGACATGATTATATCGGTATGGCGAGATGTGGTTCTCACGTTCACAGTTTTGCGAATGTATCATTTGGCGTATCCTCCGCTTGTGACTTTGCAACGGCGGAATTTTCTAAAACCCATGAGATGAACATTCTCTCTGCCTTCTGCCGAGGCAACTGACTGACCGGTTTCGTAAAACTGTTTCCCGACAGTGATGGATCTAAAATACTGCCAGCCCCAAGCAATCTGTTTGATAACAAATGATTAGATACAAAGTATTGTTATAAGTGCGCCATTTTTTTATGACTTTTTGGATGATTCTGTCAGCATATATTGATTGCTTTATAACGAACTGTTTTAATGTCTCCTATAATATCTAATATCTAATATTGATTGCAGATGTAAAAAGTGTATGTACATATAGCTGTATTTTAATTTCTACTACATAAAGTACCTTTATATTATTTTGATTAATTTTAACGAGAGATAGGAAAGATAGGTAAACCAGTCCAGTAGATAAGTCCACTCCTGAAGTTTGAATGGGGAATGTCATGGTCAAAGAATTCCATGTTCTAGCATACTAATTCCGTTAGCTCAGCTATCCAAACGATGTCCAATCGCTCTCGATAGCATCATATAACTTTTTAATAAAAATGTTCGCTTTTCACGTTTCAGCCCGAGAGAAAAACACGATCGCTACCCTGATAGAGACCTAAAACCAATACAAAATGATAAACATTCGATTAATTAAGCTATTGATCAGCGATAAAATTTATCACTGCGAAAAAGTCGATCTTAAATAATTAATATAGGCTGCTTTCTTTTTAAGAGACATAGTCGTCAAGTATCATTCTATCTTTGTTATTCATTGAATATGCCAAGAATTAAGGATAGAACGATGTTTGTGTCGACTGTATCTTCTAAAAGAAAAGCAGTCATAGATCAATTACAATAATATAAGACCAAGACTGCTAAATTTGTATAAGGAAACATTGTACTCGCAGTACTAATGCATATATGATTAAAGTTCCAGCAACGATCACCGTTATTCGCAAGTATGCCTTATGTTCATTCAGTGAGTAACTTCAAGGTCGCTGCACCGGCTGCACTAGACCTTTTTATGAATGCACGTGCGACCTCGCGTCTACGAGAGGCCTGTGAAAATAAATACCGATTCCACACGATCGATTTCCGTGGGACGTCGTTCGTCGCAATCAAGGGAACGAAATATATATATGTCTAGGCGAATACATATATATATCTATCTCGAACAAGGCTTCGACTTATTCGCAACATCGTACGCTGCATAATTGATCCGCGATGTCACCTGCGGGTTCTATCTCACCTGGGCTAGCTGCTTTAAAGTTTAATGTAAAGTCGATTCTTGGCAAAAATTTAACAGAGTTGCTTGACGTAATCTTTTTTCATTTAAATATTTAGGAAATTAAATTTGCAAATAATGTTATTACAGAATATTATTATGGAAGTAGTATTTTTCGAAATGTATTTTGTTTTTTTATGGTCTCTATCTCTACAGTACAAAGTTGCATAAAAGTTGCAGAAGGTTGTTTTGTAGTGATATTGCTGCAAATTCTGTGCCGTATGGATGTAGTTTCCATACACAGATTATTTCAATAATATCCCTATAAGCGCAAAATATTTCTAGAATGTTATATGGTTATTATTAAAAAATTAAAATAAGTTATTATAATATTTCGAAAATACCATATAATATTTTTTAATATTTTGAGAGTATCCTATAGAAGTTATATACTCCACTTATATAATATTCTAGGTATTATATCTTAATACTCTTGAAATATTATTAAAATATTTATAAATATTAATTATTCTTAATTTAGTCAATTTGAATTCACAATTTAGTAACGAAAAGTTCTTATCAGTTTCCTGCATCTTGTGCTAAAAAAACCTTTTCGCATGATTTTAAGTACATATCCAGTTCTACAATTGTAAAGTAAATTTTGTTATAATACTTTTTAATGTTTATAATTAACAATATTACATTACCATTAAATAATGTTACTTTTAATAATCATACAATATTATCAGGAGTATGAACATATAATCTTTCATTAATATTTCGAGAATATTACTTAATATTATATAATTTTAGTACAATATTCTTAAAATGTTACATTTAATATTTTTAAGAGATGTCTAAAATATTACTTAATACCAAATAATATTATACGCTTATAGGGATTAGTAACATTGCAAACGTTACAGCATTACTGCAAGCTTCTGTGTTAAATGAGCTGCTATTCTTCGCTAATTAAGTCGCGAAATCATGATAATTTCGATAATTTATGAGAGATGCAAAAATCCTTCGAGGACGTGACTTTTCCTTTCTAATTGATTCATGACGAGAATAAATAATGTCACTTCTATTCTTCTTTACGATATAAAGTCGAGTTTACGAGCGCAAACACTCTTACGCCACGCCGCGCGATACGACTCTCCGAGGCTGATATCAGCGCCCGTATGAATATTCCGCGGGTGAAAAACGACGAGAGATCTACCTCGCGGATCGTTATGCTAGAGAAGGCGTATAAGAGAGGCCAATCGCGCGCTGTAAGCCGCAAGAAAATAATTAGGCACGTGTTGCGTGCCGCGTCGTTCAGGTCCAGGAAAGCGTCATTCCCGTGTATATGCAAATCGTCGGCAATTGTACCCGTCGCGTTGCACCGACGTGGCTGTAAGTGCAATTTTCAAACTGTTCTCTGATTCATTGTGGCGCAAGTAGGCAGATATATATCGATAGATACGCTCCGCTTAGACTTGTCACCTTTGTTCGCCGTTCGTCGACTTGAAAACGTGTCTTTAAAAAAGCGAGAGCGGATGAGAAAAAACGTTAAAAAAAATATCGAAAAGGTAATATCGCATACACCGATCCGTGAGGAATACGTTAAAAAAATATTAATGCGAGGTCTGTATCGATTCCGCGGTTATAGAGCCTGATAGAAGTGCACGCGGTGAGAATGCGGATGTATTGCGTTCAGTTCCGCTGCGACGATCAATAATGTCGACTGTGAATTTCTAGCGACACTGTTCACCTGTTTGTAATTATATCTGTATCGCATGAGGAATTCTTTTATTCTGATATGTTTTTATTGAGGAGGAAGAAATAGAAGAAAATCGCGGAAGTAGAAGAAACTCAAGTAAGACTCTCTTCTCTTAGTAAGAAAGATGTATACGTGATTAGAGACGACTCACATATGCGATTAAAGTAGCATTTTAGCGATTAGACACTCAAGTATATTTTGACCAGTTAATCCTGAGAACAGCCGGATAAATACGACTTATTCTTATCGTGTGTAATTGTTGGGAGAGATTTGCATATGCACGCGAGACGATTCCACGATAGAAGAATGAAATCGGCGAAATTGATCTTACGATAAAATTAACTTTTATTTGCCAGACATTTCGGTGCGTGAATTGGCGATCTTCTTTCGACGAGGATTCATACATTTTTAAATTATTTAAACAATTAATATTTAACACTATAGAGCCGTCGATATTGTCACTAAAACTGTTAAAGGTATTAATTTAATAATTTCCTTACTTTTATTTATTGTATCATTGAAGATTTATTTTGATATTATTTACTTCACTATAATCATTTATAATATATTTTCATATATATATATTTTTTAATATTTTGTACTGTATATTTAATACAAAAAAGAAAAGAATTGAAATGATTAGCGGAGCCAAAATATACATTATCGATAATTTTAATGTTAAGCGCACAAAACATTAATAAAAATTTAAATATTCAAATATATGTTATATAAATAAATTTCTCCCTTACCACCCAATTAAAATGAGGTAACATTCTATAACTTTTTTCCTTGCAATCAGATATTTGATGCCGTCAAAGTGCAACTGATAAAATATCACGTCGGGTTTGTTTGACAATTACGGTGTATGACGTGTCGCAGGAATTTCAATCATTCTTTCGTCTGATATCTTGTCACTTTTGCAGGACGACTGGCGAGCGCGTGTCAGAGGTCTGGAAAGAGTTGCGTCGGCTCTGCGGACGTCCTCGGCGCTAATCGCGATAGAGTCGCGATTAGGATCGCTCTTGCATGCGGTGCTTGGCGGCGAAAGGAGCTGCCGCGTGGCCGCCGCTGGTTTAGCGGTAGCGAAGGTGAGCTCGTAACTCCTCGCACCTCAAGATCACCCTTAAATACATCAAGATTTAAGTCGATATTCATAGTCGGATCTTTTATATTTAAGACCGTCTTAAGTAATGTCTTAAGATACTAGTGCAGTTCTCTGATTGGTTCATGACATCTCAAGACTGTACTTAAGATGATCTTAAATACCGCCTTTAGGCTAATTCATCGCTGACGACAGTCACCAGCGAATAACACTGTGAATCCTGTTATTAAGTATTGTAATATGTACCCCGCACGATAAAACGGGATGATATCTATCAGTTTTAAACTTCGACAACCCCTAGTCAACCTCGATGTTTAAAAAGTTTCTTTCAAAGCCGAGTTTAATTTAAAAAATTTACTAAAAATTTTAACATATTTCTTTGAATAGTGGCAAGGTAATATTTACAGTGAATAAATATTTACTGAATAAAAAAGAAGATAGTTAAATGAATTAATGGTTTTTGTATATTAAATAAATGTATTAGGTGTTGGAATTAATTCGTAGCGTTTTACAAGTGATGGGAAGTACTTTCATTAATGTATTTTTTAATGCTCATGTGAAATAAATAACATTCTTTCATTAAAAAACGCTACGAATTAATTCCAACACCTAATATGTTTATATTTAGTCAGGACTATTCAAACAAATATTTATTAAAATTTAGTTGAAAAATTTTTAATTGTTACTCAAGACCTTTAAAATTCATTAAGAGTTTTGGTATCGCGAGAATTTTGTGAGCTTACAATATCCTCGGCCTTAGAAGCATTTAAACTCGAGTTATCAAATTTTAAAGCGCAAGCAGCAAGGACACCTACATGACATGTATATCCACGTACGAGAATTGCGTAGAAGACACTTTTAGCGCGATGCGAAAGGAAAATAATACTCTGTAACTTTTTTATAATACCAAAGGTTCATGACGTGTTGTTGTTCAACTTTTCTAAAGCTTATATTAAACTTTTCTAGACCTATACTTTCGTATGTGTTCTTAGAAACTATTTTATATTTCAGGTAGTGGTCGCCGGTGTCTCGGAGGATGCACTAAGAAAGAAATTGCCGCAGCTGGGTTGGGGCCTGGCTAGACAGGGTGGTCCATCCGCGGCGCAGCTCGCTCGAATCGCGATGTTACGGCTCAAGCCTAGCCTGCTCTTGGAACAATTACTGCAGCCACATTGTCTGAGCGCCAGAAACACTAAGGTAGTTAAATGAATTATCTCTAAATTCTTTGGAGTGGAATCACTTTAAAGAGTGAAAATTGAGCTAATGTTGGAAAAGAGTTTGGATAGAGTCTTTCCGAAAAGGTGAACCCCTCCGATTTTCTTGTCGATTGACATACTACTGTATTTTGATGCCCTGATTACGAATATAATAATGAAAATTGGTCATTTTCAAGATCATTTTCAAGGTTAAATATTTAAAAAACAAATTTATTTTTTTCATATTTTTTTCACGTAAAAAGTCGTGCGCCCCTAAGCAGGGGTAGTGAGATGGGGTAGGAGTCGCTTCGCGTGAAAGTCGCGTCCCTAAGTAAGAGGGAAGGTGGGATGGGAGTCGCTTTGCGTGGAAGTCGTGCATCCCTAAGCAGAGAGGGAGGTGGGGTGGGAGTCGCTTCGCCTGGAAAGCAGAAGAAATTGTCCTATCCATCTTTCAGCATGACAGCACTTACTGACAAACATGCTGAGTAATGACGTTTAGATTGCGCAGCAAATGATCATCAAAATGACCTTGTCGGTAATTTTCATTATCATATTTGTAATCAACAAGGCTGGGTAAGTTAACTTTTTTTTAAACTAAGTTAAATTAAAGTTAACTTGAAAATTTAACTTAATTAAAATACAAGTTAATCCAATAATAAAATTAATTTGAATTAAAAGTTAAGTTAATAAAAAAGTAATTAAAAAGTTTAAAGTTAAATTTTTAACGAAACCAAACGGACAACCAAAAAAACAAAGAAAAAATTCGACTATTTTACATAATTTTTTGTATTTTTCCTTTGTTATAGCTTATTTATTTATCCCTATTTTTGTTCACACGTTCAATGATTATACAATATAAAATTATTAAATTATATACTCATTAGCCTCTCACATTGTATCTAAGGATTGACTTTAAAAAAATCAAATTAAAAGTTAATAGTTACCGATAAAATGTAACTAAATTAAGTTAAAAAGTTAAGAGTCTAAAATGTAAGTTTCTAAGTTAAGTTAAAAATAATTAACTTTTTAACTTTTTTAACTTAACTTTTATCTTTTTAACTTAGCACTACCTAAAGTAATTAGCACACCAAAATACAGTAGTATACCAATCGACAATAAAATCGAAGGGTTCATCCTTTCCGAACTTTATCCAAGAGTTGCACTCTAAAGAGATTCACTCTAAAAGTTTTTAAGTAATTTAATTCGTGTCATTTCGGCACTAAATTTGTTGTTTTTACGCAGACAAGAGAGAACGCAATTTGAATTCACAATTTAGTAACGAAAAGTTCTTATCAGTTTCCTGCATCTTGTGCTAAAAAAACCTTTTCGCATGATTTTAAGTACATATCCAGTTCTACAATTGTAAAGTAAATTTTGTTATAATACTTTTTAATGTTTATAATTAACAATATTACATTACCATTAAATAATGTTACTTTTAATAATCATACAATATTATCAGGAGTATGAACATATAATCTTTCATTAATATTTCGAGAATATTACTTAATATTATATAATTTTAGTACAATATTCTTAAAATGTTACATTTAATATTTTTAAGAGATGTCTAAAATATTACTTAATACCAAATAATATTATACGCTTATAGGGATTAGTAACATTGCAAACGTTACAGCATTACTGCAAGCTTCTGTGTTAAATGAGCTGCTATTCTTCGCTAATTAAGTCGCGAAATCATGATAATTTCGATAATTTATGAGAGATGCAAAAATCCTTCGAGGACGTGACTTTTCCTTTCTAATTGATTCATGACGAGAATAAATAATGTCACTTCTATTCTTCTTTACGATATAAAGTCGAGTTTACGAGCGCAAACACTCTTACGCCACGCCGCGCGATACGACTCTCCGAGGCTGATATCAGCGCCCGTATGAATATTCCGCGGGTGAAAAACGACGAGAGATCTACCTCGCGGATCGTTATGCTAGAGAAGGCGTATAAGAGAGGGCAAACGCGCTCTGTAAGCCGCAAGAAAATAATTAGGCACGTGTTGCGTGCCGCGTCGTTCAGGTCCAGGAAAGCGTCATTCCCGTGTATATGCAAATCGTCGGCAATTGTACCCGTCGCGTTGCACCGACGTGGCTGTAAGTGCAATTTTCAAACTGTTCTCTGATTCATTGTGGCGCAAGTAGGCAGATATATATCGATAGATACGCTCCGCTTAGACTTGTCACCTTTGTTCGCCGTTCGTCGACTTGAAAACGTGTCTTTAAAAAAGCGAGAGCGGATGAGAAAAAACGTTAAAAAAAATATCGAAAAGGTAATATCGCATACACCGATCCGTGAGGAATACGTTAAAAAAATATTAATGCGAGGTCTGTATCGATTCCGCGGTTATAGAGCCTGATAGAAGTGCACGCGGTGAGAATGCGGATGTATTGCGTTCAGTTCCGCTGCGACGATCAATAATGTCGACTGTGAATTTCTAGCGACACTGTTCACCTGTTTGTAATTATATCTGTATCGCATGAGGAATTCTTTTATTCTGATATGTTTTTATTGAGGAGGAAGAAATAGAAGAAAATCGCGGAAGTAGAAGAAACTCAAGTAAGACTCTCTTCTCTTAGTAAGAAAGATGTATACGTGATTAGAGACGACTCACATATGCGATTAAAGTAGCATTTTAGCGATTAGACACTCAAGTATATTTTGACCAGTTAATCCTGAGAACAGCCGGATAAATACGACTTATTCTTATCGTGTGTAATTGTTGGGAGAGATTTGCATATGCACGCGAGACGATTCCACGATAGAAGAATGAAATCGGCGAAATTGATCTTACGATAAAATTAACTTTTATTTGCCAGACATTTCGGTGCGTGAATTGGCGATCTTCTTTCGACGAGGATTCATACATTTTTAAATTATTTAAACAATTAATATTTAACACTATAGAGCCGTCGATATTGTCACTAAAACTGTTAAAGGTATTAATTTAATAATTTCCTTACTTTTATTTATTGTATCATTGAAGATTTATTTTGATATTATTTACTTCACTATAATCATTTATAATATATTTTCATATATATATATTTTTTAATATTTTGTACTGTATATTTAATACAAAAAAGAAAAGAATTGAAATGATTAGCGGAGCCAAAATATACATTATCGATAATTTTAATGTTAAGCGCACAAAACATTAATAAAAATTTAAATATTCAAATATATGTTATATAAATAAATTTCTCCCTTACCACCCAATTAAAATGAGGTAACATTCTATAACTTTTTTCCTTGCAATCAGATATTTGATGCCGTCAAAGTGCAACTGATAAAATATCACGTCGGGTTTGTTTGACAATTACGGTGTATGACGTGTCGCAGGAATTTCAATCATTCTTTCGTCTGATATCTTGTCACTTTTGCAGGACGACTGGCGAGCGCGTGTCAGAGGTCTGGAAAGAGTTGCGTCGGCTCTGCGGACGTCCTCGGCGCTAATCGCGATAGAGTCGCGATTAGGATCGCTCTTGCATGCGGTGCTTGGCGGCGAAAGGAGCTGCCGCGTGGCCGCCGCTGGTTTAGCGGTAGCGAAGGTGAGCTCGTAACTCCTCGCACCTCAAGATCACCCTTAAATACATCAAGATTTAAGTCGATATTCATAGTCGGATCTTTTATATTTAAGACCGTCTTAAGTAATGTCTTAAGATACTAGTGCAGTTCTCTGATTGGTTCATGACATCTCAAGACTGTACTTAAGATGATCTTAAATACCGCCTTTAGGCTAATTCATCGCTGACGACAGTCACCAGCGAATAACACTGTGAATCCTGTTATTAAGTATTGTAATATGTACCCCGCACGATAAAACGGGATGATATCTATCAGTTTTAAACTTCGACAACCCCTAGTCAACCTCGATGTTTAAAAAGTTTCTTTCAAAGCCGAGTTTAATTTAAAAAATTTACTAAAAATTTTAACATATTTCTTTGAATAGTGGCAAGGTAATATTTACAGTGAATAAATATTTACTGAATAAAAAAGAAGATAGTTAAATGAATTAATGGTTTTTGTATATTAAATAAATGTATTAGGTGTTGGAATTAATTCGTAGCGTTTTACAAGTGATGGGAAGTACTTTCATTAATGTATTTTTTAATGCTCATGTGAAATAAATAACATTCTTTCATTAAAAAACGCTACGAATTAATTCCAACACCTAATATGTTTATATTTAGTCAGGACTATTCAAACAAATATTTATTAAAATTTAGTTGAAAAATTTTTAATTGTTACTCAAGACCTTTAAAATTCATTAAGAGTTTTGGTATCGCGAGAATTTTGTGAGCTTACAATATCCTCGGCCTTAGAAGCATTTAAACTCGAGTTATCAAATTTTAAAGCGCAAGCAGCAAGGACACCTACATGACATGTATATCCACGTACGAGAATTGCGTAGAAGACACTTTTAGCGCGATGCGAAAGGAAAATAATACTCTGTAACTTTTTTATAATACCAAAGGTTCATGACGTGTTGTTGTTCAACTTTTCTAAAGCTTATATTAAACTTTTCTAGACCTATACTTTCGTATGTGTTCTTAGAAACTATTTTATATTTCAGGTAGTGGTCGCCGGTGTCTCGGAGGATGCACTAAGAAAGAAATTGCCGCAGCTGGGTTGGGGCCTGGCTAGACAGGGTGGTCCATCCGCGGCGCAGCTCGCTCGAATCGCGATGTTACGGCTCAAGCCTAGCCTGCTCTTGGAACAATTACTGCAGCCACATTGTCTGAGCGCCAGAAACACTAAGGTAGTTAAATGAATTATCTCTAAATTCTTTGGAGTGGAATCACTTTAAAGAGTGAAAATTGAGCTAATGTTGGAAAAGAGTTTGGATAGAGTCTTTCCGAAAAGGTGAACCCCTCCGATTTTCTTGTCGATTGACATACTACTGTATTTTGATGCCCTGATTACGAATATAATAATGAAAATTGGTCATTTTCAAGATCATTTTCAAGGTTAAATATTTAAAAAACAAATTTATTTTTTTCATATTTTTTTCACGTAAAAAGTCGTGCGCCCCTAAGCAGGGGTAGTGAGATGGGGTAGGAGTCGCTTCGCGTGAAAGTCGCGTCCCTAAGTAAGAGGGAAGGTGGGATGGGAGTCGCTTTGCGTGGAAGTCGTGCATCCCTAAGCAGAGAGGGAGGTGGGGTGGGAGTCGCTTCGCCTGGAAAGCAGAAGAAATTGTCCTATCCATCTTTCAGCATGACAGCACTTACTGACAAACATGCTGAGTAATGACGTTTAGATTGCGCAGCAAATGATCATCAAAATGACCTTGTCGGTAATTTTCATTATCATATTTGTAATCAACAAGGCTGGGTAAGTTAACTTTTTTTTAAACTAAGTTAAATTAAAGTTAACTTGAAAATTTAACTTAATTAAAATACAAGTTAATCCAATAATAAAATTAATTTGAATTAAAAGTTAAGTTAATAAAAAAGTAATTAAAAAGTTTAAAGTTAAATTTTTAACGAAACCAAACGGACAACCAAAAAAACAAAGAAAAAATTCGACTATTTTACATAATTTTTTGTATTTTTCCTTTGTTATAGCTTATTTATTTATCCCTATTTTTGTTCACACGTTCAATGATTATACAATATAAAATTATTAAATTATATACTCATTAGCCTCTCACATTGTATCTAAGGATTGACTTTAAAAAAATCAAATTAAAAGTTAATAGTTACCGATAAAATGTAACTAAATTAAGTTAAAAAGTTAAGAGTCTAAAATGTAAGTTTCTAAGTTAAGTTAAAAATAATTAACTTTTTAACTTTTTTAACTTAACTTTTATCTTTTTAACTTAGCACTACCTAAAGTAATTAGCACACCAAAATACAGTAGTATACCAATCGACAATAAAATCGAAGGGTTCATCCTTTCCGAACTTTATCCAAGAGTTGCACTCTAAAGAGATTCACTCTAAAAGTTTTTAAGTAATTTAATTCGTGTCATTTCGGCACTAAATTTGTTGTTTTTACGCAGACAAGAGAGAACGCGTTGCAGCTGCTGATCTTCTCGCTGGTGACGTTTCCCAGCACCGAATTCAAGCTAGAAATCGTGGCCAACCGAGTGGCGACGATGGTCGCAGATCGGCGACGCAGAGTACGTCAAGCTGCGCTCGACACTTTGGCTGTTTTAGGACAGATCTACGATTCCGAGGTAAAACAATCTTAGATTTGAATTAAGTCCATGGCACACAGAAAAATGAATGGCAATAAAACGTAAGCAGTAGCTAAATGAATCGGCCAATCGTTATAAAGACGTAATAAAATATTCATTAATTCAAAATATTGATTCATTTAGGTACTGCTTACGTTTTTCTTACTGCTTAAATTTTTTATGTACCATAGCCTTCATGGATTTTCTATAATAAGCCATTACCTAGGCTTTGAGTCTTAAACCGTAAGAAATTAATCAATATCATACAGACGATTATTCTTTTCACGTTCGACTGTGATTAATCAATTTTTTACGGCTTAAGACTTAAAACTTAATAATGGCTTATTGTGGAAAACCCATTAATCTTAAGCATTGAACAAAATAACACCTCGTTCATTTGTAGGAGGTCATTGAAGCGGGAAGACGGGCGGGTGAGGGAAATCCCGATGCCGAGGCGATGCTGGCCGCCATCAGAGCACGGCTGGCTAGGAAGTCACTACCCCTGGTATCGGCCGATGGTCTCGTGGTGTACGGTTTGCAAATTTCACCGACTGTTCAGACCGCTACTGGTAATAACAACCAGGAATAAACGAGCAAAGCATAATGCACCCGCACAGATAAAATCTTACGACAAAGTACAAGTTTCATTGACGGCGGTACTCTGAAAAGGAAACTTTATTGTACGATAGTTGCGTTGTTATAATAGAAACTTTGCTGTCGTTATTTATTCTAATCGTTATTTATTTTAATAAAGTTTTATAAAAAACAAAGAGATTTTATATGATTAGAAGATATTATATTATAAGATATAACGTAATAATATCATAGAGCGCAGTCAATAAGTTAATTCTCCTTTTATAACTACATAGCTGCATAGAAGAAATCACGCAGTTAGATTTCTAATAAACGTTTGAAAATAGCCACGACATCGCGTGACATTTTAATGTAAAACATAAAGTTGGATATTACATGATTATCTGTATATGTATCATAAAGCTTATTTTCTTAATTGCACATATTATAATTCTTTTTTCTCTAAGCGAGCATACATTTATATTATATCGTTTTGAACACGACGCAAATGTAGTTGAAAAATTTTTGTATGATTAAAAATCTTTAATTATATACATATTTATATTTATTTTAACATGCGTCTTTGATTTTTACGAGACGTCAATTTCTCAGGCCCTGACGTCGATTGGATCGTGGCGGGAAGGGGTTCAGTCTCGCCCGATCGGCACAGGGGAGAGCATCCAGGTAATTTCAAGTGATTATTCGAGAAAGCTCGGAATATATATCTGCCTAAAATTGCCTGAAATGTCGTGTCATTTTAGAAACGATTTTCTAAATAACCGCGAGAGTCCGTGGATAGAGAGACCCAATCTCGTTGCTTTGGGTGTCGGACTGCAATCCAAGACTGAGCAATCGACGGCCTGGCAGTTGCAAACTAACGTAAGTTGGATCGTATATTTTCTATTTTACTTCTCTCGCTTCTTATACGAGCATGTATTCTTAAATAAATATATATATTGATTTAAGAAATCGGTTTATAAATAATATAAAGAAAAATAGTAGTTAATAATAAATTTCAAATTTTATAACAGGATTTTATATCGCAACGATTTTATGAATTTACATTTATTTTTACGCGTTTTATGTTTAGCAAAGAGTATCTAATTGGCGTATTATTAACCATTCTCAGACATTAGTAATATCACTTTACACGAAAAGTATTATTGATTTCTCATTAAATACGACGCGATGTATTGCGCGTTTTTCAATGTCATTATTGTTACTTATCGAGATATCAGCTTTGCAATGCAAATACCGAAATATACAACGAAGCAGGAAGTAGCGACAGAATAATACATCTTTTCTCTCAAGCTTCATTTTGCATATCGCCTCGAACATTCATAAGTATTTCTCAAGTGTAAATTATGAGTAAGGAGCTTAAAACACGAAAGGCACTAACTCTCTGCGTGATTTAATATCATCATTTTTTGCAATTACATTTGCGTCTTATGTTAGTTAATATCGTTAATTAATATCAACGAATATTTATAATAAGGAATCTTCAAAATTTAATATTTCACAGACTATTCTATAAGAAGAAGTTTGTGACAGAAGTCTATGATTTTATGTCAGCGGTACGTAGAATTTGTTTATTTTTGAACCAGGTTCGATGGCGTGTATGAAATGCAGAATATTTTTAGGATAATAGATTATTCTAATTTCTCATTTTTTATTTTTTACAAGCATCCATGTCTCGAAACATGATGCAAGTAGATATCTATTTGCATCATAGTCTCGAAATAAAATGTAACGATTATGTTGCGCTTAAAAATCACGTTTATCAAATACACGGGAGATTAGAATATCGCATGATTTTTGCAGATTCAATGTCGTATTTAAGGAATATCCTTTTCTATTACAGAACAATGAAAATGATATAAAAGGACTGAATGGGCGAAATGTAAATGCGGGTAATGCAATTTCTTCCGAATTCTATTCGAACTGATCACTTTGACAGTCTGATTAAATCTAACAAGAATTTGAAAGCATCATTCAAATTTTCTAGGGGTGTCTTCAAATGCCAATTTAAGATTCGAGGAACAATTGCGATCATTTTACACGCCATTGAATCAGTACGATTTTGTTGGAACGGATGCTAAGAATCATAGAGAGATTTCTGATAACTTCGAGCAAAAAACGCGAAATCGCAGAGACATTAATGAAGTTCCTAAAGAAAAAGTAAAATTCTCTTATAGTGATATGAAATATTAAATTATTCTTGTCACATAATTTATTAAAATTACACTACAAAATATTATTACAAATACTTTATATATATATATAGTGTAAAATATATGCTTGCAGGAAAGTATCGCTCTCAGAGGAGAATCCAGGATTCCAATATTATTATCGCGTGAACGTCCTAAAATAACATCGCAAAATCATGAAAAATCCCTCAATTTGGAATATGTTAATTCTAATTCGCGAAAGCAAACAACAGACATGTTAGACAGTAATCGAAATCGAATAAATTTGCGACAGGAAAATGTCGGGTGAGCATCTTTGATATCTTCTTAATAGAAGACACGAATTTATTTCAAATTAAATTAATATTACGTATATTTTGCATTAATTATGTACATAGATCGTATGCAGCGATTCATCAACGGCGAAAACGTTTTCAACAAGAAGAAAGTCAGACTTTAAATCAAACATTTGATTCACATACTAGCAGTTATCGGTCTTCTTACACGAAGGCTTTGGGAACAAATAGAGAATACGGTGTAAGTTAAATATTTCAAATTCTCATTATTCTCTCATTATTTTCTCATTAGTCTCTCATTATTCTCTCATTATTCATTATTCTCTCGTTCTTCATAGAAGAAAAATTATAATTTCGATATAGAAAGTAATTTTTAATTTTTTTTTTCTTCATATATGATTTTTCTTCAAATATTAAATTAACTATATTAAAATATCTTATATATAATGTCAGTTGTATTATAAATTAAATTATTAAATCTAAATATTGAATGTAATAATCGATTTTGCAGTAGATAAAAATGTAATTATGTTTATAATTTTGTAGGATACTGCAGGAAATAGCGACACAATTTTTTCGGATGACAATTCGCACATTTATAACAGATTCGTGGACACCGATCAATTTACGAATGAAAACGAAAGTTTGAATTACGCGGGAGGACGTCAACGTTCGCTATCCAGAAATATGCAGCAACAAACACTCGTCGAGGCGTGAGTTTTCAAGAGCAATCACCTTTTTTGTGATTGAGAAAATATTTATTTATATAATTAATTCATATAATTAATTTTTTTTACAGGTATAACTCGATTCTCGAGCGCCAAAGAAAGCTCATGGATAGAAATATCTATCGGCCGTTACGAACTCCTCCAAATCCATCGACCCGCTTGTATCAGGATCTGGATTCTCAGAATCTGGATACGCAAACTCCTTCGGATAGGGATAGGAACGTGAGACATCGGGTAAGTAAATCGTCTTTTTTAATCTTTTTTAATCACTAAAATAAATCGAAATTTTTAGACTTGAATCCTAATTCTGACCCAAACAATACCTTGTCCAAAATCGCGACGATGTTTTTTACACTGATTGTGAGAAAAATTTCTGATTGAAAATAGATAAACCATTTTGGATATGAGTGTCTGGAGAGATTCAAGCCTTTTAATTTTTTATTTAGAATTCGGTTTCAAATTCAGCGTCTTTAAGTATCTCTAATAATAAATATTGATTTACATAAATCGTCACAGCCTAAGAATCATAGAACGAAAGATGTGGCAGCGGCACAGCAGAGAACCGAGATGGACTTAATTTCATCAAATTCGCAGGAGGATAGGTGCTCTCTTTCAGAAAGTTTCGCCAGTCCTCATCGCAGAAGATTGCGATCATTATCCCCGTCACAACTCCATCGATCGCAACATTTTGTCAAATTGACTTCCAACAGATTTCACGCCGCGTCGATGTACGACATGTAAGTTCTTCGCTTTTCGTAGAGTAGAATTTTTAAAATAAATTCATATCAGCATGCAATCATAAGATAGCAAGAATTTTTCTCTCTTTTTGTTCTCTTGTTTTTTTTAAAACGCTTCAGCAATCCCAGACAAAATCGATTCGGTCTTAAAATAACTTGCGAGAGAGACGTCGGTGTATCGTCACGCGAGATGATATGCGTAAACGTCGCCTACGAAACATTAATGAGAGCTTGAGTTTTTAATTTCAAAATAAATCTACACTGAAAAGGATTACATGATCAAAATTGATGCTTGATATTCATCAATTTTGACCACGTGATTCTTTTTGTCGTTAAAATATCGGTTTGAGCGACACGTGAAAACGTATCCTACAATGAGATTTGCAAGAATTTGCACTAAAGTTATCGGAGACTCACCTCTAATAATATTTCACATATTTTACATGCATAAAATAATAATATAAGCTGTAATAGCAATCGTAATATTATCGATCCGGCAAGGTACGCGACCTCATATTTCGCTTAATCTTAATCTTCCTACATTATTTTTAACACACATTATTTTTAAGACTTAACTTGTGTGACAAGATCCAAGTCGATAGAGCGGTGGATTTTAGGTCGACAAAAATCGCCTTGCATGCCAGCGATTTTTGCAGCCGATATACTCTGATCGGTTCTAAATTTATATATACATATAAGTGTGCAACTTTTCTGTTTCGTTGCCTCATCAAGATCGCAAGAATTGCGACTTAACATTTAACTCGCCTTCATAAGACTCGCAAAACATGCCACTATATCGCAAGTGGACTAGTTCTGACCGCTCGAATTAGTCGGTCGATAAAATTAAGAAAAAGAAAAAAAGTATGAAAAGACGAAGAAAAGCGCGCGTGCCACACGATAGAAAAATGCCTCAATCGTTTCGTTTTCCGTGCAAAAGTTATACAACTGAAAATTCGCAGTGCCTGGAAATGCAATGGATATAATGACGCGGGTGTTGTGTGCATGGTGTGTAACATGCGGGACTATTGTAGATTGTCGAAACGCCTTGCCGTACTATCGTCCATTCCTCCTCATTGAATATTTTACGTCTAAGCCAGCACGCAGCCACTAATCGCTATTCAATATCGCTTATCCCGGAATTATAACGTTATAACGATAAAAAAAAAGGATACTTTATGTATGAATCGCAAAAAATTGGCTCTCTCAATATTCAATTCTCATCATCTGAATTTGATTCGCGAAAAGTAAACGAATTTCTCTCTGAAAGCAACAAAATTCTCTAAGCCTCTGACGCCTCTGACTCACTGCGTTGATTTCTTCGAAACGTCGCATCGATTTTTCGCAAGAGAAATTGCATGACTGAACCAATGAGACGTTCGGGAATTTTACTTTAGCATGTCGGTAATTCGAATAAATTTCTAACCAAAATTAATTATGAATGATAACAGCCTCGTTTTTTGACATCGATGAAGTCGAATTTTAAGTACAATTTTTAAGCACGAATTTTAATATCGTGATCTCCCCGAGGCTATAAGAAACTTGGAGTAGACTCCAAGACTCGTGGAGGAAAAGCGATAAATGTGCTTGGCATCTTTCAACCTCTTTTAACCGCGTTTCACTCGGATCGCATGACTCTGGCAACCCTTCTTTCGTGACCACGTGAGGGGAGAAGGGTGAGTTATGGTCAGCCTGGTTTACGGTCTCATAAAGGGGCCTCGAAAGGGTGATATCTAAGTCTTCGTATTATAGAAAATGTCCTCGAGACAAGAAAATTCAAAGAAAACTTATTATATATTTTTCATCCATTCAAATTGAGTTTTTAATTTCACATTTTTATTATATGATTGCAAAATTTAAATTCCTCATTTCCTTTGTACTCTCTAAATTTTTTGTGATGGAATCTCACTCTAAAGAGTGAAAATTGAGCCAGTCTTAAAATAGAGTGGCTCAATTTTCAATTTTTAAGAATGAGATTTCACTCTTCAAAATAACAATTTATCCTAAAAATTTTACAGAGTATGTCACCACTTGTTTTCATTCGTGCTTCTGTCACTACATTTTTTGCATGTTTTTAAAGATTGGAATCGCACCTCACCCGGTTTCTCAAACTTCTCATATTATTCCCGCCCTCTTCTCTGCGATTAAAAAGAAGTAAAGTGCGGAGATCGGGGAGGCGAACGGACATGGGGCGGGGACGATGTGGGGGTGGCGGTGGCAGCGGTCAGCGTCGGGACGCTTGCCGTCTCTGCTATGTGCCACAGTCGTGCGTACGTCGTCGATTGTTACGAGCGCGTATCCTTCGCAATTATAAAGTATGCCTCCTTGTTGTCGAACATGGTCTTCGTCCGCGCTCGCTATTTCCTCTCGCTCTTCATAAAAGGTCCACCGCGAGAAAATAATTGAGCGACAAATTAATTGAACCCGTTTGACATTACGCGCGAGTGTCATCGACCTCTGTCATTTAAATCGAATGACAGCGAGTGCGAGAACGTGGACACGTGGATTTCTCACAGCTGCTCGCGTTACGCAAGGCTCGCCCTTGAAAAGTTGCTACTTGCGGATGGCAGAACGATGAGCATCGTAATCTCGATCGAATCGCTGTTAGTTCGACGTACCGTACACGACAGTCGTAGAATAATTGCGGATTCGACCGATTCGCGAGAATATGTGGCGACTTAACGCGATTCTCGAGTTGCGGTGTATCGTAAGATTGCGCGAATAGTTGAAATAATATATAAGAGAAAGTTACCCTCTAAATCTATTCTTATTTTAAGACCATAAATAAATCTTAAAGATGCAGTTCTCTGATCGGTTCATGATATCTTAAAACTATTAAGACAATCTTAAATATAAGAATCGATTATGGAAATACCGACCTAAAACTTTTAGAGTGAATCTCACTCCAAGAGTGAAACCCCGCTCTTAAAAAAATTAAGCCACTCTTTTACGACTGGCTCAGTTTTTACTTTTCAGAGATTTTTAAGATTTTATTTCAAAGAATTTAAAGAATAATACTCGGGAATGGAAGCGTTCAATGCAGGAGTGAATGAAATGGAATGAAAAAGAGTGGATTCGTAGACAAGATATACGAGCAAATGTTTTTGGAATACAAGTTTCTTGAACACTTGATCGATAATTAATCTGCAGCTCGATCTTTCACGTTTCACGGTTCGGATATTCCAACGCATCGCACATATCGTGACACGCAGAGCATTTTGATGGTAGAGCGTTCGCCGATGTTTGAAATTGTCATTAGTATCGATTGATTCTTCGGAGCTCGCACACTTATTTTCTCTTACCGTTCTAACGATTGCAAAAGGTTGAAACTTGGCAACATTTAACCTTTTCCACGTACCATTATTATGCTATATTAATGCTACTATTAATTATTTTCTGTAATAATATAAGATATTTAAAAAATTAAATAAAGAAAGAAAAGATTCATATGTTGAAAGATAAGATTAGAAACGCTAATAGATATCGTAAAATTTAGAAAGGCCAGTTTAACAATAAAATTTTAATGCTCGGAAAGAACAATTTTACTGAAGTACACACAAAAAAATATTTTGCTGCTCCAGCTAGAATTATTGTTTTTGTATCTGATAGAAAATTATATATCATACGTATAGAATTTATAACACAAATCTAAATTCTATCTCTATCATCTATACGATTAGATGCAATACATATCCAAGTACACATCCTAGTTCCTAGAAATTTGTCTATTTTAGCTAATATTTCGTATTTACAATTAGATAATTTTCTATATATATAACTAAATAAGATCACTTTTTTGAGATACCTGATTTAAAAATTTAGCTAGATATCTGAAAATAATTTTGTTGTATATATCTAGCTAAATTTTCAGATATCTCAGCAAAATCGTTCTTTTTTTCTCACAAAACGGTGATTGTTTTTATTTATTTATAAAGGCGGATATTTTTTTGTAATTTGCGAACGGATACGATTTGCAAGAACGATTATGAGACAGAATTGCAACAAGTCGTTCAAATCATGACGTCACACTTGCTGACCCCGAGGGTCAATCCATCGGGTGAAACGAAACGCGTTTCGCGGCCACGACCGAGAACTTTTATACGAGACCGTCGACGAGGCATCGCGGGATAAACTTCAAGTTTTGTGCGGGATGATCTTCAAGTTCTGGCCGATCGAGATGAAGGAGGAGAATGGTGCCCTCGTCGGCGAGGTACGACCGGCAAGCAGGTCCGGCGAATACAAGATCGCGAACGCCATTCTCTTTTGTTGTCCATGTGTCTTCCGATGCAGGAAGTCAGTCGGTGTTGGCCGCGACAACGACGGCGACGGGGATGGCAATGCGTCCGTCTCGACCATCATCACCACGACGACGACGCCGGTCATTGCTTTAAGATTGAATCGAAACAGCGACACGATGTATGTTGACCATCGCGGATCGAATTTAAGGAGGATGAAGGATGTAGCGCGATTTATAATAGATGTATAATAGTTTATTAATATTGAAAACCTCGAAAGCACTGCCGATGGAGAATGTTTTATTCTTCATGAGAAGAAAATAGATATGATATCGATCGAAGCGAAAGAGAAACAGCATAAGTTACTGCATTGAGAAAAAATGTATTAAATATTAATAAATCTTTCTATTAAAAAATGTACTAAAAGTATACTAAATTTTAATAAATATTTGTTCAAATAGTATTAATTTAATATATATAATACTTATGATAAATAAATATTTACTGAATGAAAGAATGATAGTTATATCAAATGAATGATTCTTGTATAAAAAATTAAATACATTTAGTAAATATTTAGTAAATATTCAGTCAGTACTTTTCAAATATTGTTCAAAAATACGTTTTTGCTCAATGTAAAGTGTAAAACAAAACTTCATATTAAAAGCCTAAAACGTTACTACAAAAAAGATGATCATCTAATTTTCAGAAAAGCTCATCAAGCTTAGGCTTGATTAAATAATCGGTCAATTTAGATATCATTATGTTAATTTAATATGCTCAAGCATAAAAGACACATTGGTGTTACATGACACTCGTGTTTTATTTACCACGATTTGCTATTCTGGAATATAGATTCATCGTGTTTCAGCTTATAAACATGCAGCTATGCAACTAAAGTTCGCGTGAAAATACCATTTTGCGCGCTAACCCCGCCATTACTGAAACATTAATATGTCGCGTAATGGTTGCATGTGAAATTATTTCTAAGTCAATTTCTATTTTTGCATCTCTTACAGTAATAAGGCGACGATGGTGAATGAGGAGGAATACAATGTACGAAACAGGCATCACTTCTCGCCCGACGCGAAAAGCTACCATGTACAAAATTCAAACAAGGAGGAATCGCGGTACCAAGGTATGTAATTTTTTCTTTCTCAAGAAACGTTCGCCAGGAAACTCTGATATTTTCAACTTAAATTTTATTTTGACATTTAATTAAACTGTGTGATCTACATTTTTTCTTTCACTTAAATTTAAAAGATTATCCAAAGATTAACACTCTTGGATATAGATAGTTATTTTTCACGATACCTGATTAATAAATATGATATATCCAATCGCACATCTCGTACATCGATCGGAATGTCGCGCTGTACTAAAAAGGACTTGCGTTCTCAACAAAGATATACAATAAATTAAATACAATGTAGGGGTTTCGGCCCGAAGCGTGCAGCGCTGGAAACACAGCGAAATGGAACGAGAGGTTCTTCACCTCATCGTTGTGCATGCATATAGAGTTTAGACCTAGCTGAGGTAATCAATATTCCGCTGGTCAAGTCTAAGGTACGATCGAACGTCGCGCTGCAGCGGAAAGTCCGATCGATAGCCCAATCTCATCTTCCAAATGCAACACATTTAAATTAGTATCTACCAAGGCTCGCGATATTTTCAAACATGTAGACGGAAAATTCCATGCTAAGACTAATTTCTTACACTAGCGGATCTACGGAGGGGCCAACATTTATAGCAAAATGTTCTATATATTTTTAATATTTCTAAAACACTTCATTACAATTTTGATATTCCAAAAATCTTTTTTTAATTTAAGAAACTCCTAGATACACACAAAAAACATAGATTTCATTATATTATTCTTTTCTTTTTTTTTTAATATAATTTTAAATGAAACGTTTTATGAATTATATATTTAAATAATACTTTTCCAGTGTATGTGTGTGTGTGTGTAATAATTTAAATAATAATTTAATATTCTATCTTTTCGTATATTTGATCTTAAAAAAAAATGTTGCTTGTGGCGGCGCTAATGGTCCTTCCTTTAACAAATTTCTGGATCTGCTAATGAAATTTCTCAAACGTTTATTGATGTCTTCAGTGAACACGTATTATAAATCTCTAAACGTTCTGAACTCCCAGAATTTCTGCGTTCCTTCTCAATCGACGCGCGCGAACGTCCGAAAAGCGCGAGCAGTTCGTCGTCGGACGTTTCCAGGAATGATCGACCGGGACGAGAGGAAGATCAGGATACGACACTGCGAGATTACAATGGCAATGACAATAGCGGATCGTCGACCCCGCAGAGCCAGAATGCTGGCGATCCGGCGTTCGACGTTATCACGCAACAGACGGCAAATCGCCAGAGCGACACTCGCGACGATGTCGATTCCTTTTTTGTAAGAAATCATCGCTTTTAACGATTAATATTCTTTTTCCTCTCATAGCGCGTCGAACTGCTGAAAAATCTGAATTTGCAAATCGCAATTTTTACATATACAGGGTGGTCCACCACTGACGAAGAGTAATTCAGTAATAGACTTTTTCGCATATATGGAGTCGTTACTTCTTCAGCGAAAATTTAACCGGAGTCTGTCATTTGATACATCATTTTATTTTTCAACATTAAATATTATGGTAATTAAACGTCAGATTAGAATTCAAATAGAGTCTGCTTGAAATTTACTGAAGTTATTCAGCTATTTAACAAACATTCAAGCCCACTTAAAGACAATGTATAATTTGTGATAGAATTCGAGACAGAATTCTATTTATAATTTTATGCGTTGTGTATATAATACAGAAAAAATATGAATAATTAGAATTATAAATTTATAATTATAACGCTGTATAGTCTATTTTTATAAATATAAAGACGCATCAAATATGTACAAGGAAATAATTCATGATTGGTCAATTGCATCTGGTATAATGAAAATTGAAAATCTACAAGAGCTGTGAATAGAGTCGTGTCCAATGGCAAGCAAACCTTGTCTATATATAAGTGACATAAATTACAATTTAACCTATGTATTCGATGTCGTATTTCTTGTAATAAAAGAAAATTTTCTCATCCATAATTGTATTTATCATTTGATATATAAAATTATAAATAGAAGTCTGTTTCGAATTCTATCGCGAATTATAGATCGTGTAAAGTGAAGTTTATACAATACCATTATGTCTGAAGAAAAATGCCATCGTCATTGAAATGTATTTAATTCGGGGAGATGTCATTGAATGCGAGCTCAGATACTATTACTTTTATCAGATATTTCTGTTCTTTCTACAAATGTAAGTTAAGACAATTAGACATTGACTGTGTTCCACTTAACGCTCACAACGCTCGTAGAATTATTTCATCCTTGTCATTTATTAAATATTAAACAAGAACAAACGATGTTCGCGAGCGTTGCAAGCGTTAAATGGAACACAGCCATTATATGATCCCACGAATAATTTTTTCGAAAAATTTTAGACGCCGTTGGATACCAAAATGGAATACCCAATCACAACGGCAGATGCAACGACCGTGGACGAAGTGTTGAAGGAATGGAACAGCGAGGATGACATGAAATCGGCGAGTCGAATCGGATCGATTTCCAGGCATTCGAATCACAACGAGCTAATAACTGTGGATGAAAATTGCAATAGAAGCACAGAAAGCAGCTCTGGCGTTCCCGAACAACCGGAGGACGACAGGTCGAGCGCGCGAAGAAGGTCAATCGTGTCCGCATTATCGAACGAGCGGATTCTACCCTATGAAGACACGAAGTTATTCAAGGAATCGCTACAATCGAAGGTTACAATCAGTCCCAAGAGATCAGAATCACTGTACCTGACACCTAATCACAGTGCTCATCACTCACTAATCTCTAACTCGCCGATCAAGCGAAATTCTCGCTGCGGTTCACGCAATTTGGTCAGTAGATAATAAATCATACAAAAATAAATATATATGAAAATCATATTTCTCTTTCATATATCATTGATAGTAAATGCAAGTAAAATTCATGCGCGATCATCGCATATTTTAAATTGTATTAAATTAAATTAATATAAGTTCTTTTTAATATATATATATTTTTACTCAATGGCGTTTTATTTAACGTTGGATATTTCGAATGTTAGATCGACGATTCAAAGGATTTCAGTGAGGAGAGAATAATCGCTTCCATAGTACCTGACGAGGATGCTTCCATTCGATCATTGGACACCGTTGGTCATCCACCCATAGATATAGTCGGTGATTCACCGGCAATTATCATCGCATCGAGACCCCATTCTCACGAAACCGTCGAGTATGAGAACGCGAGAAGTGTCGAAAATGATAATCCACATAATAAGATTAATACTCAGGAGGTAAGATGTTTTTATACGATCAAACTGCCTATTGAAGAGTACATTCTGATTGAGATATAATTATGTTCTAGTCCACGGAAGAAGAATCCAGCGTAAATGATGCTTTGGAGGATAGACAAAGTAAAGACAGCGCAAGCGAAACTAATATGGAGCCAGGAATATTGAAGATTGAGGTATGATGTTTATATGGCAAAGAGACATTTCTTTATAGAATAGAATTTTAACATGAAATTTTTTAACAATGTTGCTAAAATATTTAAAAACTTAAGTAAATACAAATATGAAAATAAATTTTGTTGGACTATTAAAACAATTATGTAAAACGCTCAAACTAATTGTTAGAATGTCAAAACTTTTTACAGCATTGCTCATTATGCTTGAAGTTTTCTACACATGTAATTATTTTTACAGTCCAAATTATTTTCTGATTAGTATTCCCTGGTGAAAATTTTTCTCAGAATTTTTCATATAATTTTTCAGAATTTCTTTATAATTTTATAACTTTCTCATATTTTTTTATACGAATTGAAACATTTCTCAGAAAATCTACATTTTTTTCTCAGAATTTTTCATATATGTTAACTATGAAATATCGTAAGATTTTTAAGATTTTTTGTAAATATAATTTCTGATGAAATGTTATAAAATCTAAAAAATTTAAAAATACTTTTTAAAAATTATGAGAAATTTCAGAATATTTCAGAATTCACTTGTATGGAAATTTCTGAAAAAAGATGTAAACTTTCCGAATATTTCTGAGTATTTCTAAAAAATGTTCCAATTCATATAAAAATTATGAGAAAAATTTTTATCAGGATTTACCTAAATTTTTAAATATTTAATTTTTACTTTAGTAGAATCGTTCTTTCCGTTAATAAAACACACACACACACACACACACACAAAGTTAACATTTCCGGAACTCTCTTGCAGTCTGAACCTGCAGAAGATGTCGAATTGCGTAGAAGAATGCCCTCGAAAGTACCGGTGCGTGGTTCTAGTAGGTGTCGAATGCCTTCCAACAAAAGAGTTATGGAGAAGCCCTCAGAAAAATCCAAACGGATGGTACAGCAGTGCTTTTCACAGCTTGAGAATAAAGATTGGTACGTGTCAATCTTGTAACATCTATGTCAATATCAGCACAATTGTATGACAGATAAATCATTGTTATTCGTTGTCCGAATAATTCATTGCCGGAATAATTAATGAACAAGAATCAACAAACTTTTCATTCAGCGTTTATATCCTGCGTTTATATTTTAGGGAAATAACGATGAAAGGTCTGAAAGCCCTGTCACAGATCTCGAAGCAACATCCGGAGGGCTTGGACGTCTGTGCGGCCGGAACGATAGGAAGGCTTTTAGGGCGACATATAAAGAATCTTCGATCGCAAGTAGCACGAGCCGCATGTCTCGCTGCTAGTGACGTTTTCAGCTCTCAGATACGGGGTATTGATCAGGTAGATATAAGCATATTGTTTCACAAGGTATAGAAATTCAAGCATTTTTTTTTATATTTTATCGAACGTCTTATTTATGTTTTGCTCTTAGGATCTGGACGACATAGCTGGACCGTTGCTTCACAGAACAGCCGATACGAATCGATTTCTTCGATCAGACAGTAACTCAGCGCTGGATCAGATGGTGCAGTATCTTCCGCCTCATAAAACCATCGGTATCATCGTACTTCGAGGAGCCAGGTAAGTCCGCAGTTTCCTTGCGATTGAGGAATATTTTTCTGTGCGACAAAGCTGATCTCTAAGTTGTGATTCCTATTTTTCAGTCATCAAAACGCTATCGTTCGCGCGGCGACCGCACGTCTGTTGTCAGACATCACCGATCGCATTGGACCTGATCATATTATGATCTTACCACGCGACGTGAGAGATAAATTGCTAAACACGGGCGCAAAGTTGTTAATGGATGGAAATCTAGACGCAAGGTGAGTAAATTTACAATTAGACTCAGTAATGTACATTCTCATGTCTGAAGTCGATACACTAATAAGAAAAAATGTATTAAATTTTAATAAATATTTATTTGAATAGTACCTAAACTAAATATTTACCTTACAGTAAATAAATATTTACTCGCAATAAAAAAATAATAGTTATATCAAATTAATAGTTCTTATATACATATTTATTTAATACAAGAACTATTTTTAATGAATATTTAATTACTATTCAAACAAATGATTTATTAAAATTTAGTAAATCTTTTTTCAGTGTAGCATAATTATGATCGTAATGACTTGAACTTCTAGAAATCATGCAAAAAGGATGTTTCGGCGACTGACTCGCTGCGAAGGCTTTCGTAAAGCGTTGACGGACGCGGTGCCCGAAACGACGTTGAGACACATCGATAAAACTATGAAGACCCTATAATTGAACATTTGATTAAATCTGCATTCGATGTAATCTAGCTGTCTTACCGTTGCTCGAACTATCTCAAAAGACTGTTTATCACGCAGGATGTTTTTACGATCCGTTAGAAGCCAATTTACGGCATAGACATGAATTTTCTACAACGTATACGCCGAAAAAGATGTCGACAAGTAGTCATATAAATAACTTTTCTTTCCTCCGCGCTGTATATTTACCTCCTCGAAATTAAATGGAGCGAGAGACGTGACTTCGAAGATCAGGAGTCAAGGAAGATACAAGAAAAACCCGAGGAGTGTCCCTCATCTTCGCGTCATGACTTCGATCTTGTTTTTTCATCAACGAATTTATCGCGTGACGAAGTTTTGATACTTGTAACTTTAATACATATACGCATGTATAATAATTTTTTATATGATTGTATAAAGGATGCGCTTCGGCGCAAATACATTGGAGAGCTGTAGTGCCTTCACGTCGGTGATCATAAATTAAATTGCAATTGTAGCTCAATTACATTGTAATGTTCGTGAAGTGTCGTCGACGTGACAAAAATTGTCACGTGTTTCGAAAACGATTTATCTCGCTATTGTCTTCACCAACTCTACATTAATGAGTTGCAGGAAGAGAAAATATATATATATACGGAAATTTTCCTGAGGAAAGGAGTTCATTGCTGACGGCAATGAATCTATTTCAGAATCGCTAATGCTTTCGTGAGCCGAAAGTTTAGATTCGTTAATTCCATATATTTTTTTTGTTGTAAATTCGATTGTTACTCTCTAATATATTTTAACTCTCGGAAGAGAACAAAAATCGGAGAGCGTCTATAAATTTTATAAAACACGAACATCAGGTGCTGAAAATTTAGAATATATTTATGAGAAAAATTATATAGAAAGAGTTCGTCCGAATTATTCGATTCTGATGTCTAAACTGACTTTTAGCATCGTATATCAGAGATTAACTCATATTTATATAAATAATAATTTATATGCATATATATATATATATCGTTATACAAAAATATTTGCTTATTATTGAAGGCACATACACATACTATTGATAAATAAAATTACTATTGTTATACTAGATTGACTTTTTTATTCGCAACGAAATTTTATCCATAATACTGCAATATTCAGAAAATGTATTTTACTTACATTATTCAAGATAAAACAATTCCTTGACTCGAAGTCAGCATCAGTAAACAATTGAAAATAAAATCGCGATTATCGTCATTATTATTTTAAAATACTGAAGGTTATTTTATTAAACTCGCAATATCAAAATGTTAAGCTCTTTCATCGTTTAAAAAAAATTGACAAATCAGCAGAAAAATATATTTTCAATATTATATACGAATACCCCTATATATAAAAATGGAAGAATCTTTGACTCAAGATGAGCCAATTACAAGGAGCATAAAAATAGTTATAGATTCCATTGAAAATATTGTACGTTTTTTTTTCGTACAATTCTACGGCATAATCATGAGAAAATTTGTTTACAAGACAGACTGTGAAAGAAGAAACTGGCATATCGTTTATCGTAATACATAATGATGTAGTGCTCGGAGAAAGTACTCCTCTCATTATCGATCCGGGTTTCAAGGAACCACCGGAAGTTTACGACGTCAACTTCGAGGTCGAATTTTTATTTATAATTAACGACTACAACAGTATGAATTCAATCGTATCCACACCGATTTTAAGTAAATAATTTGCTCTTCCACGTCACGACATATTTGCATGCATATCAATAAATAATTCATAACCATATTAATAAGTTAATAATTATTTCGATTGGGGTAAATCATTGCTTTATCAGTAAAGGTAACGAGTGATGTCCAAGATCAACATGTACCTAATTCTGACAGATCAGTTACGGAATCCAAGCAGAAAATAACAGCGATCGTTCCACAGCAAATATCGACTTCATCAAGCGTAATTGGTTTTTGCACTCTCGATCTAATGCCGATATTGCTAGGTAATAATTTATCACGCTGACATGGAGAAAGTAAAGTCGAGATACTGCACTTAAAATAATTCTAACAACCTTGACCACTAGGTGAAAAATTACTCGTTGAAAGATTAATAATGCAAACGCCACATCTTTCGTTTGATGGCAATGCGATCTCGTGGCAAAATCTTCCTTTGTTAAACGCGACAGTAATATACGATGGCGACGAGATATTTCCTTCGCAAGAAAAAATTAATTTCTTAAGTGTTACGGTGGAAAGTATCTACAATCCACCAATTTTTTTTACCGAAGATGCGGATTATAAAGTGGGCACGATAATATATGTTGACAATAAGGTATCTTATTGTTTTCAATAATTATTTAGCTAAAGATAATAGAAATTTTAGTTATAACTTTAGGGTTAATTAATTTTATTTAAGAGTAATTAAAAGATAATATTCTCTCTATATAATATATCAGATTAAAAATAAATTCATTATAATATTTTGATGATAATATACTGTTCTTTGCATTTTTCGTTATAACATATATAAAGATTTGTACATGAAAGAAAAAAATAATTTTATAAAAATAACGAATTAGATGTGCAGCAGAGCCTATAAAACGTGGACAAAAAAAGATAAGTTCTTAGAATTGACTTGTATATCACGTCTATAAAGATAAATGCAAGTATCAGAGTCCTAAGAACGTAACTAAAATAAAACAAATACTGTAATCTAGAGAATTGCATATAAATTAATTATATATAATATAAGTTTTAAAATTAAAATTTATAACTGTTAGACATTCAAATTAACAACGTTTTAGATGAATTCTCTGTATGTTAATTCGATAAAAATATTTATGCAAAATAAAATTAATCATAATTATATAAACAAAAACGATACTCTTTATCGCAGTTTCCAGAAAATGTAAAATTCGAAGACGGTAAATGGACAAAATATCGCGATCTGGAGAGATTCAAACGATGGCGAAGCTTATCAAAGTTACAGAGTCTTGCCAGATTGTCGAAGTGGAAACTCAATTACGATGACCCACATATAAAAAACATGCTCGACGTAGAACTCGACTTACAGGTAGGAACAACATTTTGCAATTTGATCTAACAAATTAACTGTACGATGAAGCGCGGAATAATGCATGTAATTTGCAGAAGAAAATATGTCAGGACGAACCTAGAATCGAGTGGAACTTTATGAATCGCAGCATATTGTGGGATGTGGGAAGCGAAATGATGAAGAAGCATCTTATCAAGTACATGTTAAAATTTCTTTCTTTTTTTATAAATATAAAAGATCGAAGAATTCATGTTAAATATCATAAATATTATATTCGAAGGTATAAATATTGGCCATTCCAATTTATGATAAGCAAAAAGAGCAATATTGAACCAAACAAAGAAGAATTGAGTGAATGTCAACTTTTACAGTGTTACGTCGATTTATCAGAGCTTGTTTTTCCAGGAAGTAAGTGTGTACAAATCATTTTAATACATGATAAATAATCATATTGAAAAGCTTAATACTTTCCTCCTTTAAACATTTTCTATAGTAAAAAGCACTCGTGTAATTGCGCAATTGTACACGCATGATGCATCGAGTATAGCCGAGAAGACTGGTTTAGAAAAAGATATTTTCTATATAGAACCTCATAAAAATTTAAAAGAACAAGAATCAGAGAAGGTTGACATAATATATATATATATACAATATTTAGAATTTCATGCAAATTCATTTACTTGAAACATTCTGTATATGTAATACATAAAAAAATCAGCATTAATTAAGAGAATTTCTTCAAATTGGATTTCTAATTAGACGGATAACAAAATAATGGAAAGTAGCCCGTTAATTTCGGAGACTGGCGAACCTGTGTTTGTTATAATCGAGGTCGAGCTTTTTTATCCACTTGTCCCTTGTAGACTTGAAAATGACTTTTCAGACATGTATGTTCATAATCATCACAATGAAAAGTACCATAGTATTTAGTTGTTAAAAATAATACAAAAATTTAAATAATTAATTTCATTAGAATCGAGAAGATGATAAAGCCGAAAGAAACTAAGTCGCATTACGTTTATTCTCTCGATTTAGCGGAGCAGCAATATGCAACTTGTATTCGAGAAATAGTAGAGATTATAACGGAATGTTACAGGGTATCAACAAATACAATTCTTAAAATATAATTTAATATCATAAATTGAAATATATTGGTTATATCAGAAACATATGTTTTGTATTAGGATTTTCGTGATAAAAAAAACCTAGAAAATTCATCAGTATTAGAAGATCAGGAAGAGGATTCTGAAAAAGTAGACAAAACAAACTGTTTCACTCCTAAAGAGGTGAGATTAATTCCAATAGTGAGATACAAGGAATTATTGCGTTGCACATTCGTGTGCTTGTTACAATAATTTTCAGGATGAGCTAACTTGTTTCACGCAATATCTGTACAAAACTGGCACGTACTTAAATATACGTAGCACTTTGAAGCTGAAAGTGATCACGTTACTGGATCAAAAATTCAAGACAAACATGAATACTGTACACTCTATTGAGAGTCAGGTCTAATATATTTATTATTTAAAAATTATTATTATTATTATGTTTCAGCGTCTTATCATATTTATATTATTAGCGTCTCAGATTGATTGAGGATTAATGTCCGAATGTTTTGGCACACAGTCACATCTGATCAGCGGAAGATCAGAAAATTAAATTTAAATTAAAAATATCAAATATAATATATATTGTATTCAGAATATCTAACTTTGACCGATTATTCTCTATCATATTTATATATATATATTATATATATTTTATATATATATTATTATATATTATTTAAAACGTACTCAACTTTCAAATATATATTTTAAAAATATATTTAGGAATTTATTTAGACACAATTGAAAATAAGTAAAAGCTCTAATAAGCTACGATTTATGTACAGAATTTTATAGCATCCGTATACACGTATCTCGTTGAACAAATGCATCAGGCCATCAACAAGATCGTTGAAAGCCGTCTTAAGGTCGACGATTTGCCGAGCATTGTAATACCTAAAAAATTATTTTTCTATGCTGAAGAAGCTTATGAATTAGGTCATGTAGATGATGCAAGACGACATTATCAGACTGTACATAACTCAATCATTTATATTAACTCTTTGTAAACCAGGTGAGTTGTGACATACCCCAACAAGAATTCCTATAACATTTTAAAAAGTACCGCGTGCATGTTGCCGATTTCGTGCAACTGGAGAGCGTTGTTACCAATCACATTAAATTATAGTATCTGTATTTATAAATAATAAAATATAACATAGGGTATGAGACATACTCACATATGATTCATGTTGATTTTCCACCTGGTTCACGGAGGATTAAGAAAATGTCATATTAAATGTGTTATTATGCATAATTTTTTTCACAGGCAATCGCGGAAAATGAAAATAATACCAAAGCGTGGACCAAATATGCGATTTTTCTCTTGAAAATTAGCGAAACTGAACGCGCAACGGAGTGTTGTCATGAAGCGATTCGTTTGAACAGACAAGATAAATTCGCGTACGTAAAAATATTACAAGTATACTTTTCTAGTTGAACTCGGAAAGTAAAAAAGACGTAATAGATTCTTAAATAATCTCATGTAATAAATGTTTCTCTCCGCAGTTTATTGATACTTGGATTGATCCTCGCGGAAGATCAGAATTATCAAGAAGCAGAAATCTTTCTGAGAGCTGTTACTGATTTTTATCCTCAATTTGTTGAAGGATGGGTTATCTTACATCTTTTTTACACGCGCACAAATTACAGCCCAGGTATAACAAACCCATCATATTCGACGCCTGACTCGTAGAAGGTGCTATATATCCAGAAAAACATGAAGAAAAGTTTATGTTAAAAAAAAAATAATAAATAATGAAGACCATATTGGAAATACAAAGTACGGTTTATATCGAGAAAAGCGAGAGGCACGGTTTATGTCACATAAAATTGAAGAAGGATCTAGGTAGCAATATTTTCCTCTCATAAATTTTGTAGTACTATAATTAAGGAGTCGGGAATCGCCTTGATTTTCAACCCTGTTTCTCGCAATCATTTATTCATGTATCATTTAATTTTCCTTAACTGAATTTGTGTAATTTCCCTTCTTCAATTTCATATGACATAAATCATACTTTTCTCGATATATACCATACTTCGCATGCGTTCCGACATAGACCGATCTTCACACCTCATGCGAAATAATTTTTCAGAATTTTTTTTATAAGTATAGACTTTTTTGTGTATTCTTCGATATAGCATCTTCTACGGCTCAAATGTCGATATTTTCGTGTTAGGCAAAGATAAGATTAGAATGTACGAGAAGTATATATTTTTTTAAACAGGGATAGATCTTGCGTTGCGAATGGCGGAAAAAAGCATGAAAAACAGCGATAAAAAGATCTCAAGCGAAGATTCTCTCGCTTGGACAATGATTCACTGTCCACAGGATAACGTATTTATGATAACAGCCACACTCCTACTAAAACTGCATTTCTGCAATGTAATATGTCTGCATTTAAAATACATCTTACGTAAGAACGTGCAAATTATGCTGTCACGATTTGTTTGTATAGTTTGTTGACTTAGCGTTGGAGAAAGAAATATCTCGAGCAGGCAGACCAACCCATGTTCTATATTATTTAGCCGTGCGATGTTACTTATCGCAGCAATACGAAGAAGCTTTATCGCACTTGAAAGAAGCCGAAAGTATTTATGGACTGGTTCGTTTGCATTTGCCATTTGCATCATTATTAAATATTTAAATACATCGACCACACAATTATAGTTTCTCAATTACGAACAAAATGTAAATTAAATAGAATAGAAAGAAGATAGATAGAAAATAAATATAGATAACTTTAAATAAATAGATTAATTACGTAATATTATTAAATATAATTAATTATATAATTATATAAAATTAATTCTATAATGATTAATAATTAATTATTAAATAATCAATTAATATATAATCAATTAATATAATTTATTATGTCTCTCTAACTGATTTAATTATCATATAAATCGTATCAAATTAATTTGTCTATATTATATTTAAATCTCAAATATGTTTCTTTTGTTCAGGATTACTCTATAGCTAGTTTAATGGGACACTGTCATTTTCAAGAGGGTAATTTCGCAGATGCCATTCATTGCTACGAGTTCGCCAATTCAATGTTCGACAGGCCGAACGATTTGCATCTCGTGCAAATCAGGTAAAAACGTTTGTTCCGATATTGCGCGAGGCGATTGGAAGGAAAAAAAAATTAAATCGATTTATTTATAATAATATAACAATACTAGAATGGGACAGTATTACGAAAACGCTGGTAATTACGAGCGTGGGTTAAAAATATTCCTCACAGAATGCAAAACTTCACCCACGGCGGAAACGTGGCTTGGAGCAGGAATCGCCTTTTTTGAGGTGAATTAAATTAAGTTAAAAAGAAAGAAAAATTTCTAACAAAAACTTCCATGCCAAAATTATTATTTCATACGCAAAATTGTTTTTACATATGAAAATTGTCTCAGCTGCAACGATTCACGGAAGCCGAGATGGCTTTATCAGAGGCGAATCAGATCGATAATCGTAACGTGATTGTTTGGAAATATTTATGTCTGTTAAACATGTCTTTACAACGTGACGACGAATTTGCTCAGTGTTACGAACAAATCGCCCAGGTGAAAAGCCTGTAAAAAAAAAAACAAGAATAACGCGTTCTTGCGTCTTTGTGACGTGTTACCTTCACCTTTACAGGACAATACGGCTTTCTCTCTAGAGAAACGGTCCCTCAAACCGCGGGATGGAAAATCGGGATCGGTCATGCTCTAAAAACTCTAGATGCCACAGACGCTGTAGCATATAAAATTCCCGTCTTTGATTCAGAAATTTATTATAGTTAACTCCACAATTGCGATGAGATTGATGGTGAGTCAGAGCTAGTGAAATATTTATAGATTTGCACTCTATATCCAGCTAGACTTTGCTACGCAATATTACACGACAGAAATATTCGATTAAATAATCAAAGAATATCAATATTTTCTTGCAGGGTACTTTTGTTATACTTTGTTTGCTCGATGTAGCGATATTTACGACGATTAGCTGCAATGAGTCAAGCAGTGCAATGCGTCATTCAGTTTTAAAAAAAGGTAATTATGCAGAAGACATCATTATCGATAATTATTTGCGACTACGGAAACGTTTGAATTTATACTTTGTTCTCGTAACCTTGCCAAAGTAATTCGAATTATAGAATTAATAGGATTATAGAAATTAGAATTAAAGAAAAATGTAAGATAATATTGCGGTATTCTTATCTAAGATCTGGTTGCGTCAATGTTACTTTGACTTTAAGCGAAACTTAAAGCTCTATCTGTCTCGTTTTTAAAACCAAAAAGAGACAATAAGAGTTTTCAGCCTCGCTTAATATCAAAGTAAAATTGGTGCAATCGGGCCTAAATGCTATTAAAAATTATGCAGTTGCTATTTGTTTGCAGATGACGTTCCGCGGATCAAAATAAAGGTGTTTCGTGGTCCAACGCAGGAAGAGAATGACGAATATTTCGCTACTTGGGGATATTGGATTCAACAACCCAGCAGATAATGTCGATGTGGCAATCTTTCTGGTTTTACTTGCTCTCTATCATTTATATGTAATAATGAAATAAATATTTCTTCTTCAATGTGCGTAAAATAATAATAATATATATTGAAAGATTAAAATTAAGATCAAAACCAATTTTTTTTATGATTAAAATAAACCTTCATTTATTAATTATATTCTATTAGCGATAGATAGCTGTTAAATAATTGTTTGTAATTAAAATTAATATATTTCTGATAAACTGGATAATTTTTTCGTCTTTTTGTCAAAGTGAATAGGAATATTGAAGGGAAATATTGAAGGGAACATGACTAGAACGTCAAAATAAATACATATAATCTATAAGATATATGCATTTCTGTATAAATTGATAATATATAAGCCTAAAATTTACAACAGACATTCGGATTAATAGCATTTTAGATAAATTGTCTGTGTTCGATAAAGCAAAAATATTTATGCAAAATAAATTTAATCACATACGACAAAGAAATGTATATAAAATAGAACTCCTTATAATTGTAAAATAATACAGATTTAAGAGGGCTAATTTGAAGTCAGCGCGGTAAGAAGTGCGCAATTTATACTTATATAATCATTAATAGTATAATGTGTATTAAAAGATATAAGTTTGAACATTTCGGCTATCGGTTTTAGTCACCTTCAGCAAATATAATAAATATTCTATATAATTAATATTCTAGTAGAGAATATTTTTTTATCTTTGAAAATATAAGATGTTATCAATCTTTTATCTAGTCGAAAAATGAGAAAATCATAAACATCGCACAAAGAAGTTGCCTGTCTTCTTGGTTAACAAATTATCGCGTTCTCAATCTCCATATACATTGCAATTAAATATAATACAATATTGAATAAATGAAAAAGATTTGTATAAAACATGTTGTGATAAAATTTAGAAATCATCAAAATGTATCGAATGTTTTTAATTGTTTCACGTCCAAGAATGTAATTCATGTGTAATTGCGCAATTGTATACATATGATGCATCGAGTATAATCGAGAAGACTGGTTTGAAAAAAGATATTTTCTATACAGAACCTCTCGGAGTAAAAATTTAAAAGAACAAGAATCAAAAAAGGTTGACGTGATATACATACAATATTTAGAATTTCGCAAATTCATTTGAAATATTCTGTATATGTTACACATAAAAAAAACGGCATTAATTAAGAGAGTTTCTTCAATTTCGAATATTCAATTCAGATGAGTATCGAAATAATGGTAGCCCGTTAATTTCGAAGACTGGCGAGCCTGTGTTTGTCATAATCAAGGTCGAGCTTTTTTATCACTGTGCCTTGTAGACTTGAAAATGACTTTTCAGACATAAGTAAGTTCATAATCATCACAATGAAAAAAAAGTACCATAGTATTTAGTTGATAAAAAATTATACAAAAATTTAAATAATTAATTTTATTAGAATCAAGGAAATAATGCAGCCGCAAGTAACTACACACATTATTTTGTCGATTTAGCGGAGCAACATTATGCAATTTTGTATTCAACAATGGAGATTATTACGGAAAGCTACAGGGTATCAACAAATAAAATTTTTATGTAAAATATAATTTAATATCATAAATTGAAATATATTAGTTATATCAGAAATATGTTTCGTATTAGGATTTTTGATGAAAAAAAAAACAAGAAAAGTCATCCACATTAAAATATCAGGCAGGTGATTCTGAAAGAGTGGATAAATCGAAGTACTTTCGCTCCTGAAGAGGTGAGATTAATTCCAACAGTGAGATACGAAAAATTATATTGCGTTGCGCGTTCATGTACTTGTTATAATAATTTTCGGGATGAACTAACTTGTTTTACACAATATCTATACAAAACTGGTACGTACTTAAACGTACGCAGCATTTCGAAGCTAAAAGTGATCACGTTGCTGGATCAAAAGTTCAAGACAAATGTAAATACCGTACATTACGTTGACAGCCAAGTCTAAAAATATATTTATTACTCAAAAATTATTATTATTATATATTATATTAAATGTACGCCGCTTTCAAACGATGGAGATCTCAAGTGAAGATCCTCTTGCTTGGACAATGATTCACTGTTCACGGGACAACGTGTGTATAAATATAGCAGCCACACTCCTACTAAAACTGCATTTCTGCGACGTAATATGTCTGCATTTAAAATACATCTTACGTAAAAACGTGCGAATTATGCCGCCACGATATAAGTTTGTGTAGTATGTTGGCTTAGCGTTGGAGAAAAAAATGTTTCGAGCAGGTAGATCTACTCATTGTTCTATATTACTTAGTCTTGTGATGTTATTTATCGCAGCAATACAAAGAAGCTTTATCGCACTTGAAAGAAGTCAAATGTATTTATGGATTGGTTCGTTTGCATTTGCATCATTATTAAATACATCGACCATAATTAAAGTTAATTAAGTTTCTCAACTATGAACTACAAATTAAATATTTAGATAAAAGATAAATATATATAACTTCGAATAAATATATTAATTATCTAATATTATTAAATGTAATTAATTATCTAATTATTATCTAATTATATAAAATTAATTATAATAATTAATAATTGATTACTAATTAATTAATATAATTATATATTTAATTTTAATTATCCTATAAATATCGGATAAATTAATTTGCCTATATCATATTTAAATCTCAAATATATTTCTCCTCAGACTGAGAGACATTTCTTTAGAAAAGTGTTACGTCTTTATCTAGAGTCAGACTGTAATCTAAGTGAAATATTTATAGATTTGCGCTCTAGCTAGCTAGATTTAGTTGCGTAATATTACACGACAGAAATATTCGATTAAATAATCAATTTCCTTGCACTGCTCTTGTTATGCTTTGTCTGCTTGATGTAGCAATATTTACGACGATTAGCTGCAATGAGTCAAGCAGTGCAATGCGTCATTCAGTTTTAAAAAAAGGTAATACTGCAGACGACATCATTATCGATAATTATTTGCGACTACGGAAACGTTTAAATTTATACTTTGTTCTCGTAACCTTGCCAAAGTAATTCGAATTATAGAATTAATAGAATTAAAGTAATTAGAATTAAAGAAAAATGTAAGATAATATTGCGGTATTCTTATCTAAGATCTGGTTGCGTCAATGTTACTTTGACTTTAAGCGAAACTTAAATCTCTAACTGTCTCGTTTTAAAGTCAAAAAGAGACAGTAAGAGTTTTTCAGTCTCTTTAAAATTAAAATAACGTTGGTGCAATCGAGCCTAAATGCCATTAAAAATAGTTGCTATTGCAGTTGCTATTTTTTTGCAGATGACATTCCACGGAACAAAATAAAGATGTTTCGTGATCCAACGCAGGAAAAGAATGACGAATATTTCGCCATCAAATATCATTTATATGTAACACAATGAAATAAGTTCTTCTTCTTCAATGTGCGTAAAATAATAATAATATATATCAAAAGATTAAAATTACAAAACTAATTGTTTTTATGATCAAAAAAGACTTTCATTTATTAATTATATTATATTAGCGATAGGCAGCTGTCTATTAACTGTCTGTAAATAAAATTAATATATTTCTGATAAACTGGATAATTTTTTCGTCTTTTTGTCAAAGTGAATAGGAATATTGAAGGGGAACATCTTAGAATGCATAAAAAAAATACACAAATTATTTTATAATATTAAGCTGTCATGTCTTTTATATTCAAACGTTACAATACAGTTATTATTCAGGCATATACATTATAAATATAATGCCAATTCTGTAAGACATGAATACATATTACTTTTTATATAATGGATTGTTTGGATTCATTTGTTTTCCATGATTGTCCAAATCCGCTTTGTCACCCTTCCCTGGGTACCCAGTCTTGTGACCAGGTCCGCTTGGCGTGTGAGTTGGATTACATTGATTAGTACGATTGGCTACATCCTTCGAATCCATCTAGAATATGAATATAATTTTTATAATAAAATATATAATAATAATGTAAATATATAAATTCGATGCATGTCTTAAATTCGCAGTTCGTTTAAAAGGATTCTAAAGCCGTCTATATTATATCGATTAAATCATAATTTTTGTATAGCAATTACTTTTTCCCTCTTTTACAGATTCAAAAATCTTTTTCTAGCAAAGTACACATGACAAAAAATTTCAAAATTGAAATCTTAAGAAAAATTTTTCGTTGTTCTCGATATAAACTCCATCTCACAGACAAATATTAATGCGTATGCATATTAATTCTGAAAAAAGATTTCAAATGTAAAAAAGGAAAAAAGTAATTATTATATAAAAATTACGATTCAGTTGGTAATACAACGGCTTTAAAAAATAATAAAGAAAGGAACAAAAGAAATGGAATATAACGTTAAATGAATTGATTGAAAGATAAGAATTTGCAAGAAAATGATTAATACGTTTCATATCATTTTATTTTAAATAAAAATTGAAAATATTTTCTTACATCTTTTCAGAAATGAATTGTGTATATTCACTTATATCGTGTGTTTTTTTATATATAGATTCTTCAATCGCAAATTAGACATTTAATACATTATGGTTTAAAGTAGATGACTAAGTTATATATCATAATATTTAAATTAAATATTTTTAATGTGTAAAAGGAATAACGAAAATTAATTTTTTTAATTATTAGAAAAAAAAGCATAAAAGCCGACTAGATATTATTGCAGCTTTTATATCCTCTAATAATAATTTTTTCTTTCTCTAATAATAATTGATTTATTTAAAAAGTCATTATAAATTTCAATTAAAAATGTCGCGAGCATCAAAATACGTCCTCATCTTACACATTCCTCCTTTTTTTTGTATTTCATAAGGATACAGTAATAATGTGTGCTGTTAGATTATTTAAAAATTGTATAAAAATTATGAAAATTAGTGTCAAATTATGTATATAAATTTATTTTCTGAGTATCGATCATGTAATTTTTTCTTTACAACGGAAACTTCAAAAGGGAAAATTTTTTAAATATATGTATTCTGTATGTATGTATATGTATACATACATACAAAAAAATTTTCACTTTTCACGTTTCTACT